TTTTCATTTTTATTAATTCAAAATTAAACTCAATATATTTCAAACGTGTAAAAGAGTGATGAAAAATATTGCTAATTTGAGCACTGAGATAGAAGTTTGCCAGAGAAAAAGCAAAAAAAATTCATTATCGATAAAGTTTCAACGATAGGAATCATCCAATGACTTTTCTCGTAAATGCAGACTAATAGCAGCTTGTTTGCAGCGCGAGAGTATCCTTTATAATTGCAGCCGATTGCAAAACCGGCGATAAATGACGCGGTTCGATGACAGAAGGTAATGTCGTTACCCGGACATAGTTATCCTCACGATCGCGCCGTTGCGAATATGCAGCAACCTAGCGACGTACTCGCCGCGGGCGTAATTGCGCTCTCTGCGCTCTGTGCGCGATGTCGCAATTACCGGTATCATTACTATACGAATTACATTATCCGGTGTGAGAGCGTCTCGTGGCGCGATGTCGCGCGCGAAATCGAAGCTGGACGCTTCCTCCGCGCCGCTGCTATTCAGCGCTCGCACACGTTATGGGTTATCCGTAACGCATCGCCCGACACGTCGCGTGCAGGTTCGTCCGCGTCATATAAAAAATTCAGGGTGCAACGACCGCTATTTTTCAGCGGGACATCGCGACGGTATTCTAACGGAAGTAGACGCGAAACGAAAAAACATCGTGGTAAGATAATCAAGCTCGACGGCAGACCGGGGGTGAATTCCGATAAAAATTACGAGTCTGAGGCAGTTGACCTGCGCTGCACATGCCTTCGTTCGTGTATCAAAAAGAATCGATGCAGTCCGATAGGTCTGTGATACTTGATTTGTTGTTAAATCACAATTAGCACATAGACTGTCTTGCGTCGAAATATTGTTGTCATTTCTATTGTTGTCGTCTTCTAATATCAACGAGAAACTTATTCAGAGATGCGTCAAATTTTTAATAAACAGTGCACTTTCTGTAATTATACGTCAGTTGCTTTTGACGTTCATTGCAAAGTTACCGTTAGCGCAATTTCCGCACTATAGATTTTTTTCCAGAGTACTTAAAAAATTCTTTTGTCGAAGTCTGTCTGTGTTTTCGGTGCTGACGGTAATCAGTTTTTCAAAAGCCCACGGGATACCAGGATGGTCTAATTACGCTGTCTTTGCAGAGAGCTTTTTTGAAATATTCACAAGGCGCCTGTTCCTCTTTTTTTATGCGCGCGGACAATTTCGCGTGTCCGTGTTCAAAGGCTTTGCTTGCGCGCGACCCAGGCGATACAACGCGTTCGTTTCTTACTGCGAGTTCGAGCACCGGAGTTATGTTTTATTAGTGCGCAAAGAGCCGGCCGGAGCGCTTTGCTAAAATGCACTCGGCGGTCTCGTTTAAGCAATATTAGACGAAAAGGAAACGCGGGGATTCGTGCTGCCTGCATATCCAACTGCAGCGGCAGTTGAATAACTGCGCACACACGCGGCGGTATCGCGATACAATATTGAAGCGGGCGTTTTATAAATCGAGAAATAATAAAATATTACAGCGGCTTTTTATTATTCATACACTACAGTCACGCCCGAGTGAATGTTTACATGTTCATCATGTATACGTAGACCGTGTATAGTTATTACGCATACAAATCGAAACGCCGGTTAACACGAGCGGCATGTTTAATGCGTGACATTACGACGTACTGTCCGTACTAGCGCGGTATAAAATTTTAATGGCAAGCCCAGGACGACGCCGGCTATTCAGGATTGATTTTTCCTTTGCGGAAAATCGATGGCGCATCAATGTTTGCATTTTTAAAATGTTCAACAGCGGGGATACTTCAGCCGTTAAGTTTGAAATGAAATTTTCACTCGAATAAAGTCTACTTTAACCGAAAGGCAAACTTCCGTTATCTATTTACACTTCCGAAGCGCGCCTAGGAACCTTTGACTTCTCGACGGTAAATAGCTTGATAATTACAAGTTCTCAGTAATTTTTGCCCGGGAAGAGTCAACTTCAATTTCTTCCAAGGAATCCGGAGATATCCTGCCCATTAAAATCTCATTTCAGGAAAAAGACACGGTTACATCGCGAGCCGCGTCGAACGAGATTTTATTAAACCGTTTTAAATCGCCATAATTTAGCGGAAGTCGTAATTAAATCGTGAAAGTGGCGTACATCCTGTCAAGGATTGAAGAAAGCGAATTTCACGAGAATTGTTACGTTGCATAATCGCTAATGTGATGTAATCATAGCGACGTAAAATTATAACATACTGTAAACAATTAGCTGACCGCGCGTATAACGGCGGTCGCGAGATATCGGCTAAATGAGATTGATAAGATACCACGCCCAAAATTGCGCCGGATAAGTTGGTCAACGAAGTTGCTGCGGTGATTAGCGCGCGTAGTCAGCGTTTAACGCGAGGACCTTGGAGTCAGGACTTGGCTTCGGGCGTCGCAGATAGCTCGTAGATTGAACCTCAGAAGACTTCGTGAGATTGAGACGACGTGGAGGGAGGATAAACGGAGAATGCGGTGGAGCAGGGGGAGAGAGGAAAGGACAGAAAGGTCGGTGGACAGGCAACTTCAAAGAGAGTGAGTGCGACGAACAGACAACACGACAAAGAGAGAGAAAGAGAAATTCCCAAGAGAGACGAGGGGGGGAGAAAATATGCGAGAAGTGGGAGGAAAATGTGTGATGTGCGAGAGCGAGAGAGAGAGACAGGTGGATGGCGAACGCAGTATCGTTAACCAGCAGACAGGCATACAAGAGAGTCGTCCGTTCTCCGGGCCTTGTCGGTAATCACACGACTAGCAACTGTTAGTATCGTGCCTGAGCTCGAGTGCGAGCGGACTCGTCGCGAGCCGCGAGTCAGCACGCGGCGCAACAAAAGCGTAGCAGCGTCGCGCTACTCTGACTCGTTCAGTCGCATTTTTGTTTTCGGTCGAATGACGAAGTTGTGCGTGTCGTGTGTCATCATCGTCGGAACCGAATTCTTGTGTGATGGTGAATTGTTGGAATACCAAGGACGACCCAGAAAGCTGATCTAAAAGGTATATCGATACTTGAGGACCTTGAACGAAGAATCGAGTCTGCAATAAACTGGCACACATCCGCGTGATGACTAATGCAGTCCGTAGATCACTGCGAGCATAATATTAGCAAAGAAGCGACGACGAACCGATTCGCTTCGAAAGGCAGGATAATGGCGTGATTTGCGCTAGTTGTGTTGCTAGCCGTTCTCTTTCTCTCTCTCTCGACGGAACGCTAACGGTTCACCGATCCTCACTGTACTAATTCTAATCTAATCGAGATGGATGGGTTTTTCTGGCGTGATTTCAATATAGTAACGATAAGACGCTTGATATCGGCGAACGGGAAACCGGATGCTTTGCTTTGAGCGATGTCGGTTGAAACCATTTGCATGCTCACTCTGTGCTGGTTTTTTTTTCTTGTCTGTTCCAACCAAGTCTACGCCCACAGGTGTGTCACGATCGCGATAAGGTTTACGGCTTGGCGCCGTTGCATGGCGATGGAAAGATTTCTCTGCTTCGTAAATGTGCATGTTTTGCTGCTTTTAAAATGATTGACAAATATCCAATGTTTATTGCCATTTTTGTGGTTATTATTCATTATTCATATGCGAATTATTGAATGGACGTCGGTTTCTAAATGTTTATTATTGGTTAAATTCATATCGGTAAAATACGTGATCTCGAGAAAATTTATTTAATCAATTCGTAATATTGTAAATGAAAATGTGACCTAACGTGCCATCAATATTTATTGACAACGCACAGGATATTTAGCTTTCCTCTTATCTCTTCGTTATCTGAACGTTGACTACGTTTCAATAATTTATCAACGTTGGTTCATTAATTTATTAAACGGCTATATAATGAAAAATATTAATAGTACCTGAATTTTTTCTCAACCAACACACTCCTTGCGTCTTCCGGCGAAAATCAGCAGGAGGCGAATATTTTAGCGTTCGCAGGTGTGCGTTACGGTCGCGGTCGTTCGTTCGCAGGTGCATACATACACGCCAGTCCTTGGAATCGCACGAATGATGTATGATGAATGGGGCGATATGCTTACGATGACAAATGCGTGTCGCGACGCATCTAATTAAAGAAAAACGAACGGTGCAAAAATGTGTTTTGATAATAGTGTTTCTGTTTCATTTTTATATTAAAAAAACTACTCACAATTAGCGCCGATGTGCGCACGTCAGTTATTACAGCATAATTCTGAAAAGTTGTTAAAACGTTAAAAAGTCATTGCTAAAATTAAAAACCCATTAATGGAATAAAAAGCGATTTAAATTATTGTATGAGAATTAAAAACAATAATATTTCATGTTGCAGCTGTGCGCAACAACAATGTTCCATCGTATCTTCAAACCGTGTTTTACAATAAGCGCGGCGCTATCCTCCGGGCTTTGACTTTGCTCACAAGAGCTCATAATCGCATGCAAAATCGTTTAACTTACGCCGATCAATTACGTATGCATATTAACACAGGTTCCGTTGTACATGCAAACATTCTCGTAGCTCAGAGAGCATATATTGTGACTTGTTGCCTCTCTCTGAATTTTAATCGGAGCCAGCGAGTATAGACAATGTATCGAAGGTTAAGGAATTCCCCGCGAAGGTCAGTGAATCATACGCCTCTATGAGAGAACAAAGAACCTTGAATGAAAACGGAGCATCGCCATCTCGATCTTTCAGCTCTTTCCGCTTCATCGTTGTTCACGCCAAAATTTTGTTCTTGTATCTCGGACTGTGATCTCGTTACCACGCACAATTAATTTGTTCATAAATCACAAATATATGATTATCATCAATGCACTAATACATAATTATTATTAATGCACCAATACACAATTAATTGTTATTAATCCCGCCGCGTATTTCGCAAGACTTGTTTTTACACTTTATGAAAGGAAATTGCATTTCTTTTTATATCCCCACGGAAACATGTGTTGCGCACATATACGTTAAATCGAGACCAAATAACCGTGCTACAAGGCTATCTTCAGACAGTCGTGCTTTGATAGCCTGCATCGATCGAATCCCAAAGGTTATGCGAGTTCGAATGACGAGGATGAACGTGAATCCGGATTTACGACGGTTCTATAAAGATATTCAGTCGTTCTTCGCTTCCAAAAATCCATAGAGACGCGCATAATTCCGAGAACGAATTAAAAAAAGTGATGATTTAAAAGTTTCCGTGTGGAGAAACCTAAGTCAGGAAAGGATCCGCTATTCGAGCAACGTTCATGAATAATTGAAGAACGCAGAACATAGGATTATCATAATGCGTGAATGACGCTGCGCTAAATCTTCATCAAGGTACGACCTACATTCGTTCATGTGTTACTATAATCTTTATATACTACCATTGCCGCTGTTAACTGTCAAGGTTGATACACAGTTTGATACAAAAACAAAGTTTGTCCTTCTCTTTGCGCACATTTCTAATAAAAAGATACTTCTCGAAGCATTTAAACTCTGAGATGAATAATTTTCTCAAGATATGAGTGCGTGAATTATATTTAAATAAATTAGCACCTTTAAATCAAAAGTGAAAGTGAAATGATAATCACGTTTCTTACTTTCTTATCACTAATAAATATAATTAATTTGATTATTAAACTGCCATTATCATCAATTAGCTTGTTTCAGCAAGATTTACGCAATATTTGGCAAAATGTCTAACATTATTATGTTAAATTACATCTTTACGCATAAGAATGGTCGAAATTATTACACGCACGGCTGTAGAGCGATTTAAGTTATAAGCCTAATATATCGTTAGTGGGCAAGGAACTTCTCTTGCGTAATTCCGGGAACAACAATTTCATACCCACGCCAGAATTCCAGACATACTTAATCGGGCTATTACTTGATCAAGATAGTTCGTTATGGAAGTTCCGATAAGATTGGGATAAGTACGGGAACTACAATTGCGGTTTTGGAATCACTTGGAATACGTTAAGTATCCGGTCAGTCTATAAATCATATCTAAATCGTTCGGCAATTTCAGTTATCGTCTATCCCTTAACAATTTCCGCGTAGGATAACAATGGTTTTGTATCATTCATCGGAAGTTGCGCAATCAAAACAAGATCAATATCAGCTGGCTGATAAGCAATTGCACCTCGGAAACTATACATCTAATCTCTAACAATCTTGGATCTTCTAACGTGAATCTTCTAACGTATTAGTTGTATTACAGTACCAATTGGACAAAGGGCGAAAGATGAGATTAGGGACGAAGAGGGACTAAATCGGCCCTTTTCGGTTCGACTCGGTATTCTTCGTAGAATTCTTTGTCCAGATGTTCTTTGCTCTATGGAAACTGAGGTCATATACGCTCGATGGCAGGTATGCTTTCATAAGAGCTAGGCTTCTAGGTCGAGCGCATCTTACTGAAGTATCTATTTCTGGTGTTTTATTGGTGTTATATATATTATTTAAAAAGTTCAAAACTCTATTTTCTTGTCGGCTGATTTCATATTGCATGACTTGTTATTGATTTTTCGATTTTATATTTAATTTTTCACACTTGGAAACACAAAGATCTATGCTGTAATAAAAATATCAGTGGCATGACAATGGATTGCAACTCGTAAATGTCGTGGAATTGAATTATCTACTAAATACTGTGATCGGATATCAGTTCTACGGTTATCAATAAGAAGATAAGAGATGCTTTATTTTACAACGATATCGTCTGACAAACTCAAGTTCTTTCATTATCGAAAAACGGAGCAGTGAATAAATAGATTTGCATTCGTTCTGTTTGCACTTGGCGCGTTGAGTCGTTTGTCATTGATTGCAGTCGATTTTCTTGTTTATTAATTTAAATCGCAAGTGAAGGTGCGATAATAATTAATTGTTAATGAAATTTGTCTGGCACAATGGCGAGATTGGTGAATTAATAAATCATGTCGAAGTAATTTATTAAAAAGTGACAGTAAATGAATAATTATTAATGCACATACTTCCAATTAATAGAAAGTATAACTAAATATAGATGTAATATAAAATAATAAACAGAATCAAAGCTGTAATTGTGTCGTATATGCTATGTGGAGGCGTGGCTTTTACTAACGTTTATAGCTGCGCTTCAGTGCATTCCACGGAAGTGTGTGTGCATAAGTACAACGATGACTCACGATTCTTCTTAATTTCTCATACGAGCGTATAATTAACGCGAGGGTCGGCTTCGACTCGGACCGTTAACTGTCTTTCCATTGTGCGTTTTGTCTGGCGCGAACTCCGCCACGACATGCGAAAAATTCACGTCGTTTTTCCAAGGCTGCGAGTAGTCCCTTCCTCGCGCATACTCTTTCTACCCACGCGATTCGCATTGGCAGATGAGATTATGTATCCAGTCTCTAGTTGAAAAGTGTTGATCCGCGAGAGAAATCCGCAATTTCCTCTCGCCGTGAAATTTTTCCCCGGAATACGGAAACAACTCTCTTTCGGCTCAAGCGTCTTTTCAAGCAAGTTTCATTGAAAAGGTATACCGCCGCCTAAAGCCCGCAAGTTTTCGAGAAATACGTCTTTCATAACTTTACGCGAACTCCGTTGGATCTGCGGGCAATGCCTTCGGATACGCGAAAATAGATCCCAGGCCGGCGGACCAGCGGCGTGAAAATAATTCGCGATGCTGGCGGTTAACAGCGGCGGAATCGCTGTTATCGCTATTCTTAGCCTATCGCCGTTATCGGTGTCTTTCAAGTGTACATACGGTGCATAATTTCATCGAGTTGTGCAAGATAGCGATGTGCTTGTTGGTAAATCGTATGTAATGTGCATGACAAGCTGGACCATGTCTAATATTGGCTTAAGCTCCCGGTTAAACCTAAGTCAAATAGAAGAGCGTCCGAAATTGCAAACCCGAAATGTCTCGTACTGGATTATGCCGATTTGCTCGGTAAACATTTACGGTTCTTGTATGTAAACCGCGGCGGCGCGGCGGTGATAAGAAGCGACGCGATAGCTAATGAACCAGACTCGTATTACGTTTATATAAATGACGATGATTCAGAGAAGAAGTACAAAACTGTGTATTGTTATATATGTGCGTACATAAAACAAACAATTATTTACACACATATTCCTATGTACACTGATATATATAGTTCCTATGCACTCTGATATTAAACTTATCGGCGCGATAAAACTGCTGATAAAAAGAATAACCACTGATTATTTGTATCGTGTGTGTAAAACATATATTGTTTGTGATTAGACGTTACGTGAGGGAAATTATTAACACCATTTGCGTGGCCAGGCGTGGTTATCGGGCGATATTGGCACTGACTGAGACGGGAAAGTGTTAATTCATTTTACATCTACACTCTCGCGAGTGTTTCACGGCGCGCATCTCAGGAGAGGCAATTTGATTATCGCGAGCCAGATGTGTTAAAGTTTAATTCGGTCGCGGTCGCGTCGAATGCATTAATTTTTAATTCATTCAACGTTCTGACGCTCGTTAATTCAACAAAGTGAATTGCAATTTTTGTGCATCAGTTGAAATAATCTTCATTTATTTGGACTGTTTAAATATGAAATAAAAATGTGTTATAAAAATTTATGTGTGCGAGAAATCAACTGATATTCAATTAACAACCTTGTTTTAAAGAATAAATTATTTTCCTACGAGAATATTAGATTAAGCCATTACATTAAATAATTGGCAAAATATATGCAAAAGTAATTTACCAATATTGTGTTGTTTTCTAATAATTCTTTTATTCGTTTAAAATAAACGTAAAAATATTTTCAAAAATAAAATGTTCAAAAGTCAAACTATTTTCATACCTTGTAATCACACAATATGATATTAAATTCTCTCTCTTTCTCTCTCGTGCTAAATAGAATATAGCCAATATAAATCACCCAACATAATATTGTCCAAATAATATTTTCATGCGAGCGCGCTGTAAAATATGAAAAACATGCAAATTGAACTAATAAAGCGTATTGCAACGTAAACAATCGGGAGTTTCAATTGAAATATTTCGGAAAGGTTAAGATTAGTGATTACAATGAAAGCGGGAAGTAGTGACGTAATTGTAATGTCTCGGAACGAGCGATAAGCCATATCCATGACTGTCACTCAACACCATGTGCGCGTGACTAGGGCTCTCCTTATGCCTTTATGTGCTGCCTGGGAAACTTTTCTCGTGTTTCTTTCGTGACTGAAACACGAGAGTAACATTAACCTACTGCACTCAATATATATATTCGGCTTACGTGACTTTTATAGTACGTCTTCAGTAATTGTTATAAATTCTCCGTTAGTGTTGGTAAAAAAGCTGTTTTGCACCATATAAATCGTATACGCTAGTAGCTTACTGTTACTAAATGCTTATCGCTTGCTATATGAATGTTTATGTGTTACAGACATTTTTGTTCAAATATCGACTATTTTCGTTTGTCATTTTAGTTCATGATTTGATAAGAACTAATCATATCATCAATATTTGATTTTTTTATTAGTTTTAAATGTGTCACAGTTTTCTAGAATTCTATTTTGGGGCAATCATAATTATGTTTCACGCGCGTAACAACGGATAATATATGGCTTTGATCGACGTTGCGACAACAATAGTCGAGCATGCAACTTTTCCAGCGTATTAATCGATCGATATCGACGTGACCCAAGTTTCACTTAAAAAGCGTGTCCCAGAAAGTAACGGTGACGATCTTTATCGAACCGCAAGCATATCGAAATTAACGTGCATTTTTGCATATCGTGCACGCAAAGCAGGTTAATTCCTCGATCGCTGAAGAGAGTTTGGAAATTCCTACAATATTAAATACTCGACGAGATTTCGATAACCGTTCGGTATATCAAGCAGCAACTTTGCCTCAACAGGTTTCCAATAAATTCAATTGGTTATCGCACAGCGCTATTTTAATCGGCTCGGGATATTTTAATATATATCGGGATCGATAAAATTGCAAATATTGTACTTAGAAGACACGACTATCTTACGAGCACTGTGTTATACGCTTATCGACGTGTCGCGAGCAATTACGCGTTGTTGACCATCGTCGATAATGCCATCGTAAATTTGATAAATGCCGTAACAACAGCGGACTGATAATTGTATTTTCGACTTGTATTATTGAAGCTGGCGCATCGGAGGCAGTAGACTCGAAAGGAGAGGATCAGAAGGAGGACGAGCACGAGCATTGTTTGGAAGAACCAGAAGCATCGACGAGTCCAGAGATGGGTTGCTGTGGTTGTGGGGATGAGCCATCCAAGGTGGAACCCACGGTAAGCATTTCTTTTGCATGATGCAAAAAAATTTCCGTTAAAAAGATGTTCGTAAAAATGTAGCGCACTTGCTGAAATTGAGTCCAAATGTCTGTGAAAGTCTCTTATATGCAATTCTCTCATAATTAATTGCAATTTGGACATTAAATATTCTTATTTCTTGTATTAAATATTTTAATTTCTCTCCATAATGAAATAATGAGTCGATATATTTTGATTTGCTTCTTTTACGTGGTTGCTCTCGAATTGTCCATTCGTTATCAGGATGAGATCTTCGTCGTGACGATTTGTATGTTTTTTTAAATTATTTCAACGTATTTAGAGAGTGTCCTTCTTTTCCTTTTTAGTCACCTCAAAGTCAGGGTTCAGCGTCCAAATATTCGGACCAGATCTTTGTAAAGGATCGATCATGTACCGACATTTGGGCTGTGATTATTTTACTTGCCCTCGCAGGTGGTTTCGTAAGTATCATTTTTTTCGCAAAACAATAGGAATTGATTTTTTTCCTCGTAATAATATATTCAACAAACATTATTCCTTGGTTCATGCACGCAGAGCTTCATGATGACGAACGTGGCGAAGAAGGGTGATATTTATCGCGTGGTGAATGGCTACGACGATTGTGGAAATGTCTGTGGCCGCGTAACCCCCACGCGCGAAGGAATTCCGAACTCCTGCAAAGGCACTGATAATAGCCAATATCCGTGAGTGCACTTTGGAATATTTTATAATATTTGGAACTGTGTGAAGCTTGCACGAATACACACAAACTCATTAGAGTCAAGACTTGGTAAAAGCATTCAATAATGAAATTTATTTACATTTAATTTACATTAGTTTAATTTATTTCCTATAACTTAATAAATAACAAACCAACAAATTAATTAAATTTTTTAACAATTAAATTTAAATTTAAATATTAATTATTGAGTAATTATCAAATTGGAAAAATCGTGGAAATGAAGCGGTTTATTTATTAGTGAATAATCAAGTTGCGATTCATAATTTATTCTAAATATATAATTGATGTCACATTTTATCTGTTATGCGATTGTATTGAAAATATATTCCACGTTTATTCAGCTACGTCGACATCGACATCGGGACAAAAGGAGTGAAGACGCGTAAATGTGTGGCACAGTGCAATTCGACGAATGATGAACCCAGGTTGGTATCACGTTAAATTGAGAGATTCTTTTACGGTGTTCCGCTTCTTGCACCTCCAATTGCGCATCTCACGTTAATCGAAATGATTATCGGAATTGCGATTCCAATTGCGTTTTGGAACGTAAGAGATTGTCGTATGTCGACTACGAACTTGATCGTTTTCTTTTCCGTTTCCTTTAATGTCGTTTTCTGTCTAATCTCGTAGAATGTTATTCCTGAATCGTTGTCTGCACACAAGCGAAAAAGTGAAAAGCACCATCAACTCTCTCATAAGGACCCTTCGCCTGGACAGTTTTTACAATGTAAGTGATCGTTAGAAAGAAAATCTTCCGAGATTACTTCTATATCTTACGCAAAAATCGCCAGGCTTTCATTCTACTGAAATCCACTCTCGAGTTTTAAAAAAATTTGTATTTTTATTTTCTGCCAATATTTTTCATGTACATTTATGTACATTTCCAGTCCATATTTCTGGTTTCATCAATAAGAGATTTCATTTTCCAAAAAAAACCTTATTTGATTTTCTTGTAGCAGAAATCTGTATAGTATTCTTTATTCATATTATTGGAAAAATAGGACAAAATTTGAAAAAATAGGCCGCCGTTCGTGAAACCGACGACACTTTTTATGTTTTATTATTTATTTTATTAAACTTTATTTTTGAAAATAGTTCAGAGAAATTTCTGCATTTTGACTTGAATATTTTATGCATCCGTTTACATTACGTTTTAATTGAAGTACTTTAAATCAAATTTTAATTCAATTCAAATCTGAAGACTGATAGAGATATATAATAATATTGAAAATAATCTTTTTTTTTTAACTTTTAGAAATTTAGTTTTTTCCCCTTGAGAAAGAAATTTATCAGTGACTGGTAAAAATAATTGATAAATAATATAGCAGTTCGTAATTAATCAAAATTTCTGCAAATAGTTCGTAAGTTATCGGTATTGCATTTATTATTTCAGGAATCAGTCACTGATTTGGGAATTGCGTGGCGTGAATTGGTTTATCTTTTGCTTATTGCTTTAGGTACGTATTCTAGAAATAGTATGTTATTTCGGAATCATATTTAAATCTAAAAATTATATGAAGACAATAATAAAATATTTCATCATTTATTTAAAACCTGTTATGGAGAGAAAGTCGAAAGAAAATTTCTAATAAAATTTTAAAATATTTCAAACAATTTTTATACAGTGTAATGAAAGTCAAAAAAATTTAGACGATTTTTCATTCTTATGTTAGCAATATAACTTTCCTATTTTATGTCTTCATGTATTAAATTTCGGGAATAAATTCTTATATCGCTTACGAGCGGCACAAAATGGGGACTCTGCGTGATTGATTGCGACCGATGATTTTTCAGGACTTTCTCTCGGCATCCTCGTGGCCTTCCGCTTTTTGGTACAATATGTCATTTATATGGTATTGATCGGCGCAGTTTTGGCCTGCATCGGCGGCACGACATATCTCTGGTAAAAGAAATTATAGATATGAAATCAAAAATTAAAACGCTGCATCAAACAAATATCATAAATCAAATCTTCCCGTTTTCTCAATTAAACATTTTCACGCAAATATCGGATATTTATTTATTATTTATTTAAATCAACTGGCGTAACTTTGATCTTTTCTGCACAGGCTGGCGTGGTATCGTGAGAAGAAAGCGGTCGACAGCGGCGCGATTATCCCGGAAGATTCCAGCCTGGAGTCGTACTTCATTTACGCTATCATTATGTCGGTCGTTGCTGTAAGAGATACCGCTACATACACACTCGCGCAATCTTGATCATCATTCCGTACACATATAGACGCCCACATTTCTTTGCAGGTCATCGTAATTTTGGTGATCCTGGTAATGAGGAAGAGGATCGAGCTGGTCATGCAGCTCTTTCGCGAGGCGGGCAAAGCCGTGGGCGCGATGCCGGCGTTGCTATTTCAGCCGGTTTATGTAAATATACCTTGAGTCAATTGTATCAATAAATCCGACATTGTCTCGCTGATGCAAAAATATCTTTTTAGACGTATCTGCTTATCGGATTCACGGTGGTGGCGTGGGTCTACTGTATGCTGTGGATCGAGAGCGCCGGCGACATCTACGTGAATAAGAAAAACCACGTTCACTTCAAGAAGGACGCGCTACTTATTGTGAGTGAGCATGTTCCTTTTTTTGTTTCGTTTCACGTCGACTGATCAAGACATATCTCTTTAATGGATGTAATTAATTTAGGCGACAAGATGGTATAATCTATTTCTGTTCTTCGTGGCGTGTGAGTTTTACTTGGGCTGCCAACATATGGTCGTTGCTTGCGCCGTTGCTCGCTGGTTCTTTACAAGGTGAGATATTTAGTAATGATGAAAAATTAAGTGGAAGAATAAATATAGTATTCGTAGCCGTAGCTACTTGTGGAAAATGTGACTTTCCGATAATTGCATACTTTTTATTATGTAAGAACTCTTGGCGGAGTATATTATTCGATTTGTTTTTCAGCCACGATGTTTTATAAATCGAGAATTCCATTATATTCGTATCACATCAGTCATGTGTAATGAACTTAAAATTGCGTTTTAACAGGGATAAAAGACGACTTTCTTTACCGGTGGCGAAAGGCTTCGGATATCTCCTAAAATATCACATGGGCACCGTTGCTTTCGGAGCTCTGATAATCGGCATCGTTCGACTGGTTCGAGCCATGATTTCCTTCGTCCAAAAACATCTGAAGCAATACGATAACGCTTTCGTGCAAGCAATTCTATGGTGTTGTCAATGTTGTCTTTGGTGCTTCGAGTGTGCTCTGAAATTCCTTACCAGAAATGCTTATATCGAAACAGGTAACTGTTTAGTGAGATTTGTAAAGTCTTTTTTTATAAAAGAGCTCATAAAACTTGCCTGTCAATATATATTTGTAACAAAATAATTATTTGTTTCAGCCATATACGGATGCAACTTTTGCACAGGCGGCAGAAAGGCGTTCCAAGCTTTGTCCAGTAATATTTTGCGAGTGGCGGCGATTAACAGCGTTGGCGATTTTGTCTTATTCCTGGGCAAAGTCCTCGTCGTCACGCTTACTGTTGTCGCGGGGATTTGTTTGATGCAGGTACAGGTAATTCTGCTTTCAGGATTATTCTACTTTGGCAGCTTTACTAAACACTTTAAGTTCAACTCTTTGTAGAAAAAAGAGGGACTCAATCATCCTTGGGTACCGATAACTCTCGCGGGGATATTCGCATTCCTGGTCGCGCATTGCTTTATATCCATTTACGAAGTGAGTGACACAGAATCAGAACTTTAATTATATGTAATTGTTATATGCATATTGTTAGTTTTTATATATAAAAAAAATACGACACTTCTTTCTAGATGATTATCGACACGATATTCTTGTGCTTCTGTGAGGATTGCGAAAAGAATGACGGCATTAGCCGACCTTATTTCATGAGCCGCGGTCTGATGGTTAGTATTAATCGGCGTTAATATTAATCTGTCACATCTTTTAACTGTAATGATGTTAAATATTTATTTTGAAAAATTTTATTCAGGAATTCGTGGAGAACAGCAAGAAAGCTCTGAAGAATCTCGAACAGCAGGGACCTGGCGCCTCGTAACAAGCGTTGAGATTCAGTTTGATATTTCTTTCGGAAAGAATGCATTATGGATTGTTTTGATAAGAAATTGGATGAGAGTTTGCGTTGGGATTTTAAGTAAAATGGGTGTTTTTCTAATGGCTAAATCTTCGAAAAATAATATAATTGCGGAGGATTGCGATCTTTCTTTTCATACACGCACAAATGGTCTTCTCTTACCACAATTAAGTCGTCCCACGCCGAGAAGACGTACACAATCGATTGCTTCGATTGATTCGACTGATTACAAATCATTCTATTTTCGAAGTTCCTATTTCTAAAAATATTTTTTACATGAAAGTTTTTTAATATATAATCCTAGCTGAAATAGATGCGACATTTACGCAGTTGTTGCCGAACACGCCGATTGGCAGCCCGAAATTTATTTTCGTTGAGAGTGATTTAAAACGAACAAGTTAATTTATAAGATGTTTGTTCTGCGCTTTAGAATGTAAGTTGTGAGCTACGTATTTGCTACGTATTTGTATACGTAGCAAAATTTGTATTGTTTACAAATCTCATTTCTTACCGCTGTAAATATTGTTTTCCCCTTTTTTTTTTTTTTTACGAACAAGTGCCTACGAATAATTTCTTTTTAGTACAAATAACTGTAACATATAAATAATGATAAATCGGTAAACAATGATAAATCTGATGATAGTTTACTAATGATGAATAGTTACGTTATTTCGAAAGAGATAAGCATGTGAACAGAAGTTAATATCGCATTATATGTTATTAATAAAAATTTATGGATACCACAAAAATGTGTGATACTTACAAAATTAATTACTTACTTTCCCCTCTGTTCTTTTATTCCTGTAAAGAATGCAACGTTAAAAAAATAACATTGAAAGGGAAATGAGACAGGAGGGACATTCTCATATGGCGCAGGCGTTAACTTTATCACTTTAGTTTATTTCGTTCGAGCACACAGTGCATGAACGATTCATGCTTAGCGGTTTACAGATCTCATCTTATGCCGGTTTTAGCAAAGTGGTGTGTCATTAACACTCAGCTGGCAGTAAATCGGGATGACAAATCGGACGCTACTGGGACAACGGGGTGGCGGAGCGGGAGGGGGGGGGGGGACTTTGGTCTGTTCAGGCCGGACAAACATTAGGACGAGTGTGTGAAAAGAGTAGACCGTTTAGAAAATTCTCACCCGCACTCGTGGTGCAATGCGTTCGAAACATTGGCTTTTATTTGCTAAAATAAAGGGAGCGGCGACGGCGAGGGGGACGGGAACGGGGTCAACTAACGAACAGCGCAACAGCAACGAAGCCGACGGGTTCGCAACGAAATTACATGCGTTCGATGTGGTACGTTAACTCTTAATCTCGCACGTATACCGCATATCTTAGGAAAATCCGCGAAGCGGGTTCAGCGCTCCATCAGCACGAAAATATTCTTATTCTTTTTCTCTCTTATTTATCGTTAATTAGCTCGCCTAGGGTTTAAGTGAGATTTTCCCAGAGACGTAGGAAAATGCCGAAGATATGTACACATGGAAGAGACACTTCGCTCTCTATTTGCAGCTCCAGAATATACATTCGTCCGAGTTTTCGCGAGAGACGCTTTTTCGCTTTACAGTACATAAATATAAGACCGACACAAGCCGCGCGTGATCTACGGATGCTCCCGCGAAGGAAGTTCTGCCGGAGCTTGAGCTAGATAATTCTCTCTCTCTCTCTCTGTCGATTACAATAAACAACAATCTTCCGTCCGATTGTTCGCAGCAGAGAAATACTCCTATATCCTCCCGAAAAAAGTCCTATCCCGATACATTTATTCTCGTACACCGAAGTAACGTTAATGCCCATGTACACCGCGATTGTGTTAGCTCCGAGCTTGAAAGGTAGATCCCGCGTTGCGATACGCTACATATAGGGTGAAAAAGATAAAATCGAGTCGAATCCTTAAAAATCAACGACTACACCGACACAAGGTACTTGGCTTTGTACGACTTTGTATTGCACTTCGTGGCTAGCGCAAACTTAGGTCTGTTAATCTTACGAATTATTATTCTTTTTTTTTTTCTTTGTTTTTGGTCTCGTTATGTCATCGTCATCGTGCGACGTGTAAGGTAGCTAGGTAGCCAAGATATCATCGAAGTCATTGCGGAATTCTCAGTCTTTATCAAAGAAGTAACAAATCGACGCGCTTTACAGATAGTTGCGAACTTAGAAGAGAAAAAAAAAAGAAGGGGGCGAGCAAGGGAAATTCGACGACCGTCGGCAATCATTAAGAGACCGTCTCGCTGCGTTGTGAATTGTGATAGTTGTCTTACGTTAACATCATCGCACAACATGTACACGTATATCTTACGCTTTCGTCTTATTCGAATAAACATCAAACGTGATGTACACATACAAAATGAAAGATTTCGGGAAACGCGCGGAGGATTCGTGAAAAGCTATCTCGGTATTCGCCGAGCATCCAGCACTCGATCGTCGAGATTCACAAATTCATGTCGCAAAGTAGAATAAAAGGATGAATCGGAATGGATTGAATGGGGCGAAAAGAAAGAACACCTTTTGCGACAGAGAAGGGATGAAATCGGGGATGAATTCGCTGCGCTCAACAACAAACACTAACATTAATGATCGTAACGTGCTTTAAATAGCGGACAGCACTTCGCGATGATGACGATGATGAGGAGACGATGACGATGACTGATGCGACGATATCCGTCTAAATACGACCGTTTAATACGCGGCGCGAACACTTGAGAGGATGAATGATCGAGACGGAGCGTCGGGACGCGCTTAGCCGGCAAGCACGCCCGGCGGATCCTGCACCTACAACACACAACACTGTCCGCTGCTGATTATTTAGATCTACAAAGAACGGGTCGATAAATGACGATTGCTCTCTCTTTCTCTCTCCTCTTCTTTCTTATATCGCCGCTTACTCTTAAGCTTTTAACATCTACGCACAGTATTTATGCACTCGGTGGGCTTTACATCGCACACTGCGTGTTCAAGAAGTACACTTCTACTCCCGCATACACAAACACCGTGGTGCGAGTTCCATTCCGTCGAACGCAACTCGGGCTGCCGTTGCAGGACACTCGCATTACTGTCCGGTCAATTCGCGTTAGTGTATTCGTACATTAACGCGAATCGATCGGATTGACTATACACGTCTAGTCAATCGCCATTCGGAAACTATCTATTTCGTCTTAATAAGTTAACGAGTTAGGAAGCATTGTAAAAGGCAATGTCATCTAAGAGAGAAGAAGGACAAGGGGGGGAGGGGGATTGTGTTGAAGAAAGAGGGCGAAATCGAAACGAAAAAGTAGGATGAGGAAGACATTTCTCGCATTGCGCGACTCTGTAACAATCGATCGCAACTTGCGTCTGTATTGCGACGCGAATTGCATTCCCGTTTACGACGCATTATGTACTGCATTACACTGTATTAGTTTTTGCATTATAGGTATTTAGGAGACAAAGATGGCGATAATGATAATGATTGATAATGTCGATAGGCGTGATGATCATCGTGAAGACGACAATGATTTTTCTCACAATAATAGTGATCATGATAGTAATAGCAGCGATAATGGTAATAATAGTAAGAGAGTAGTAGTGATGTAATAATAATAATATAATATTAATATAATAATATAATTAATAATATAATAATAATTATCATAAACTCTGCAATATTTAATACAGGTTTGTTCACATGGACTAGATACAGCTCTCTCGGAGCGACCGGTGAATCGGCGCGCTCATTCTTTCTCTTATTCTTGTCTTGATCCCTGTGCTCTATACTTGGCCAACGGGGATATGATGTGATCAGTCAAACACACTGACAGCAGACCAGAGCCACGTAATTCTCAATGTCGTGACTAACGATCGTCGCATGGGCGAATATCAACGCGTATCCTTAATTTAAGGTGGTTCTTTAGTAAATCGAGCTACCATGGAAATGTCTAATTTCTTTATATAATGAAGTTCAAGCACCGAACTTGACGTGTGCAAAATTCTAGGGTTAACGATGAAATGAGAGAGAAAAAAGATGTTGAAAATGTAACTTTTAATCTATAACTCAGTGACAGGTAAGGATCGGAGACGCTTCTTTGACTAACTGCACGCAAACGTTACCATAGACTTCTAAACAACGAGATTATAATAGTTTTAAAAATTATGATCGTAATGGTCACAAAAAATTAATAGGTCAACGGCCATTCTGGAAAGATATTTAATGTTGAAATGGCAAAACATCGAGAAAAAAATATCGAATCAACTTCTTTTTATTTCAACACTTTTGCATACTAAATATCGTTTGTTTCATATTATTTCATTAAGATACACACGAAATTTTAATATTTTATCCCAATTATGCAGATATTTGTGATTTTGAGTGGGCCCTGGTGAGGCACCCCAAATTTTCGACACTTTACTAAAGAACCACCTTAAATTTCGACCACCAACGAGGAACATTTTTTGGAATATTAATATTATTATGAGCATAGATTATACTATAAATTGGCTGCGATATTATTCTTAAACAGATCTTATTTATTTCGCATTTGAAAATATAGTGATCGTTAACTACCGTCCTCGTTAATGTCTCGTGTGTGCCAGAGACGCAGCGTTTATGTCGATTCGCAGAAAAGGATTTTCCTAGAAACCCAGAATAAGATGTTGCGAAGAATATTTCTGTGTCGATAAAAAACAACTTCGCTGGAAATGATCGAAAAGATTGTCGTGGCAAAGAAAAAAAAGAATAAATCTCGCATATGTCTCATTGAGAACCACGTCACTGGCACTAAAAACAAATCTTGCTTACCTAAATGCACTCTCGTACGTGCTCCTCATCTTGCGCATCAGTGCATGCTCGATTTTTCTGTCTCTTTCGAGCCGGGGCGATTCATCAACAAAGGCTGCAACACTTGGAAGCGTCCCCGAGATGAATGTGGCACATGGCGGGCATTCCGGCGCATCCCTTGCCGACGATGCTCTCTTGGACGAGATGCGCGAGGCCTAGATTCTGATTGATGTCGCCGTCGCTGCCGCGATGCTGCTTCGTCGCGGCGTCGCACCATTGCCGACGCTCCCGCCATTTATCTTCGGTCGCCGCTGCGGGGCACAGCAGCATCGACTTGGGCGAGGGTGGGCTGACGCGGTCGCGAGTGATGCTGCCGCACGAGCGTGCCTTGTAAAGACGCCCCTTGCCGAAGATGCCCGGCAGCGGCACGCAGAGTTTCTTGTGCACGGCGAAGTAGCGACTCAACAACCGTATCTTCCTGCTCTTGCACTCGTTTCGGTGCATACCGTTGCCGCGATTCTCCTTATCATTGCACACCGGTTGGCTCGCGCACTTGTGATGACGCTCGTCACTGGCGCCGCCGACCGTTTGATGACAATCGTCCGATTGTCGTTTGTAGCTGTTACCCTTTCCATCGGGACTGCGGGACGATTGCTTGTTCGATTGCGTTATCGACTTGCCGCCGGTGCGAGACCAGCTTTGCAGGAGCCTCGCTCCGAGTCCTTTGGCCTTCTGCACCGTCGTGGTTGTTCCTTGAGACGCAGGTTGAGCAGTGGTGCCGCTGTGCTGCGACGCCGTGCTACTTTGAGACACCGATGACGACGGAGAGGTGTTTTGCGCGCTGGGAACGCCGTTTGAGTTGCGCGATACGTGACAATGATTGTGACAGGACAAAGGCGCCTCGGCTTCTTGCACCTCGGTAATGCGATTCAACGATTGGCTCTCTCGCAATCGCGTCTCGCCGGCTCTTCTTCTGCCGGCGCGATGTCGCCTACCGAACATGACTTGGTTCTCGGTGCACCGATGCCTGCCCCCTCCGGTTGTCGTTGTGTTCGTATTTGTGGTATTAGTGCCGCTACTGTTATCATTTCGATTGTTCTCGGTCGTCGTCGTATCCGTCGTCGTGTGCTCGCCATTGCTCACGCCGCCCCCGCCGCCGACGCCGCCGCGGCCGCCGCTGTTTCCGCCCGGATCCTGCGAGTCGCTCGAGTCGTCGTGACTGTCGCGTCTCGGCGGCAACGACTTGCCCGTCGACGCGCCGAGTTTGTGCGCCCTTTTCTTTCTGCTCTCGCTGTCGTCGTCGCTCGCGTCGGAACTCGAACATGAAGTTGTGCGTGTTTTGTGGAACTTGCTCCTCCGCTGCTCGTACGCCGTTCGCCTGACGACGCGGCACTTGGTCGTCGAGCCGCCGCATTCCGTGGAATTCACCGATCCTTGTACACCGTCTCCGTCCTCCAGAATTTCATTGAGCGTGATTTGCGGCGTGGGCGGGTTGGGACCGCTGCAGGGCGACGGCATCGTCTTATACTTGGGCGTTAACGTCACCTGATTGTCGGTGATCGGATGAAGAGGTATCGATACGGTCGATGATTCGTGCAGAATTGTGGTGATGGAAGTCGCCGTTGTCGTCGCGGGAGCTTCGGACGGTTTCGAGAGAATCGTCGACGCGGGCTCCGTAGTCGGCACGCTGTACCGATGATGCTGACCGCCCATCCGCCACTTGTTCGCCGGCAACGGTCCAGCCGATTTCAGACAGTCCGTCACCGACTTGGGTCTGCTTTCCGTGTTCGTCGCCTTTCTGGCCCATCCCGCCGACGGCGCGTTCGTATTGCCTAATCGATTCTTCAGGTTTTCCTCGCACATCAAGGTGATCCGCGGCGACGGCAGCTTCTCCAAGAGAACGTTGCCCATTTGAACCTTGACAGCCATCTTCGGATGCATCGTCGACGACGTCTTGTTGTCCTTCTCGTTTCTCGAATTCTGCTTCAGTCTTTCTCCCCTATCGGCGTTGGTGACGGTATCCTCCTTCTGATGCGGATGCCGCTGGACCTGCGTGGGTTTTGCGCCAGTGTGCTTCTCCGGAAGCTGCGACAGCCGCTCCTGCAGGATGTGCGAGAGCTTGCCCTCGGAACGGGAACCGCGACGGTTAAAGGAATTTAGCGCCGAATTACTGCCGCGTTCGTCCCGGCCAGAGCACGAGGACACGTCGTCCTCGTCTTCCTCTTCTTGGACGATACTGCATTTGCGCGTACGCACGTTCTGCAACGAGAATAGTCATCTTTGTCTCTCCCGCCCGAGGAACGCTATCCGCCAGGCGATATTTTATGTGCCAGTCTTAATGTTACGTTCAGTCACATTAGTCGACGTTGTTTTAGACGATGGGCATGCGATACGTACCTGCGGTACGTCACCAGGTGTCCGTGGCACGCTCAGTAACGACTGGTTCACGGTGCTCAGGGAGTTCTGATCCGTGTGCAGGTTTGTCGTTAGATCGTCTTGCCGGCTGCGCAAAGTCAACGATACAGTAATTTCATTCAAACCGACGCGCAGCATAAATATTTAAAATTTGCATATTTTACGAGTGAATCACTCGGTTGAGCAACAATTATCGCAGATAATCGACGATTCGATATATTATAAAGCATACCTTGAAGAAACGTCCAGAACCTCCGGTCGTGTTTTCTGCATCTGTTCTTGTCGATGAGCGCGCAGCTTCCTCTCCGCCAGCAAGAAGTACGTCGCGGTGATGTGATTGTATTCGTTCTTGTCGAGCGCGCTGCAACGAGACCCGACGAATAAGAATTACGATTGGCTTAACCGCGCTGAAGACGCACGCTTAAAATATACTAACACGCAAAAAGGCACGATCAAAACGGTAATCTCTTCTTAATGTCTACTCACTCCAATATCTCTTCCTTGGTGGCGATGTTACCGTTAACCATTTTAGTGATTATGTGATTGTGATGATCGTCGGAGACCTGCTGGCGCGATACGAGCGGCAGCGTCTCTATGATATCCGTGTCGGAGCCGATCGCCAGCCACGGATCCGCCGCGATCTCCTCGAGATGAGCCCTGCCTTCGGGTTCGCGCACCAGCATCCTCGCGATCAGTCGTTTGCAGCCGTCGGATACGTGCGACGGGATCGAGTACTTGCAGTCCATGATCATCGTCAGCGTTTCGCTGTCGTTCGCCTCTTGGAACGGCGCTTGACCGCATACTAGCATGTACAGTATTACACCTAACGACCAAACATCTGCAACAAATTGAAGCGATGATCAATGTAATTGTCAACTGTGTGTATAAATAATTTCACTTCGTTATATTCGATATATTATTTTTTAACATAATTCACTTATAAAAATTCCAAAACGAGCACTCCAAGATTACTTAGAGATCGTTAAATTGGTAACAGAGCAAGTCTTAATAGCTTAGGTCATCTTTACTTTAATCTTAATTGCATTAATTAATGAGCTTACCTACTGCAGGAGCATCGTAACTATCGCCCAGAAGTATCTCCGGTGCGGAATACGCTAACGAGCCGCACGAGGTTTCAAGTTTTTGGCCAGGGCAAAATCTATTGCTAAATCCGAAATCTGTGAGTTTTACCGTACCAAGTTTTTCAAAGAACACGACGTTTTCGGGTTTTAAATCCCTGTGCACCACATGTAAACGATGACAGTAGGATATGGCCCGAACTATCTGTCGAAAGTAAGTCCTAGCCACCTGGCAAATAAAATTTTTTAATTATGACGCGTACAGACGCTTGAATAATAATTTTTTTAATTTTACTTAACATACACTTAATAGAAAAATAATATGTATAAGTTTCTAGCAAATTAAAACTATCAATATTTACTTATATCAATTTTTCCAGCTCAACATAAATTTTTCTGAAAACTATAAATACAATAATTCTTTATAATTTATAATCATAAAAAATTTACCGACAACTTGTATATAATAATGAAGAATTCAACAATAAAGCCTAGTCAGACGGCAAATACGCTAACTTTATATCGGAATTAAACTTGTATCCTTTGTTTGCGCAGTAATTGCCAGTCGATGCACAATAAAACAAGACAATAGCCATGCAACAATACCTCTTCGCTGAGGCCGCTGTCGTGGCGCATGATGTAATCATAGAGATCCCCGCCATCGCCGAGCTCTAGAATTAGGTATAGCTTGGTCTGCGTGTCTATCACCTCGTACAGCCGCACCACATTGGGATGCTGCACTAGCTTCATGCACCGCACCTGCAAACACAGCGATCCGGGCGATCACGGATGGACGCGAAAATTCGTTTCGCGTCCGAGCGAATCCAGAGGTTAACGTTTCTGATACGCGCGTACATTTGCATCATTATCTCATTGACCTTAACGAGATCCGCTACGAAGTTCCTATGCGCGATTTAACTACGCGATTCGATCTACGCGACTACCATCGAACTGGCCATTAAAATGACATTACGCGAATCAGAATGTCATCCGTGGCTCTGCCATTCCCATTAGAACATCAAACAGACTCGAAGCGGAGAGTAAGTCCGGCACGACACACGATTGCAGTGATAATAGTACAAACTGGGAACAAACAGCGATCAGAATGTCGTTAGACTTCTATCTGTCGCATTTGGACAGATCTTCAAATGGGAAATAAATTAGTTTTTTCGTAAAAAAATCAGAAAAATAGCTTTAGCTAGAGAAAAAAACACAATAAAAAAAGAGGCGGAATAGTCGAAGAAAAGCAATTTAGATTTAAACTTTCTACAAAACTGCTTTCTACAAATATTTTATATTCGAAAGTTTTCCAACACTTATTTAGGTCATTTCCAATAGAAAATAATTTTCTTTATTTGTTATTTTCGAAAGAGAGAAAACCGGAGACACCGTGAAAGAGCTTCAAGTACATTTCGCGACGCCAAAAGATTGGCCTTCCGTGAGAGAACGACGATTGCATTTTTCTCACCTCCTGGAAGAGATGCGATCTCGAGATTTCGTCGAGCTTGCTCTTGTCGATGACCTTCACGGCGACCTTCTCGCCAGTGAAAACATGTCGTGCCAGTTTCACCACGGCGAAGTGGCCGCGGCCGAGAGTCTCCTCCAGGTCGTATAGCCCGGCGATCTTCCCATCGTAGTTGCTGTATCCCACTCTTCGATTCATCTCGTGCCGCTGTAATATACATTGCAAGTTATTCAGTGCAAATACACAGATAGAGAAATATGCATTATTCATTACTTATCCATTAAAATTGATTAAAATATTCATACAAATTTGATGGAAATAAAATAAAGCAAAGATGAGTGCTTATTTCAAGACAAATCTTTATTTCTTTCTCCACGAAAAATATTCTGTTTTCTTCTCTTTTATTTGAGATCTTTACAAATTTAAGATTCCTGTAAGACAGAATTATATATATTTTTAAAAACTGTCGAGTTTTACAAATACAAATTGCTTTATTAAAGTTAATGAGCACTACACGTTCTTAAATCGCTCGATCCTTTCTTTATAAATTGCTCCACATACGTGCTCGCATTCGTATAATAGCTTTGAATCGATGAATTACAAACATTGAATTCTAATCGATTTCGAAATGACTGCGACAGTCGCATAGCACGACGGCTCACAGTCCATCCCGCGCGAGAAAGAGGTCACTATTATTTTTAGCACTAGTAAGAGCAATAATTAATCGCTCCGCCAATCCGTGGACATGCGATCGGCAACGATAAACAAAAGAGTGTACTCAACAGAATAATAGCGGGACAAAAAAATATAAAAAGGCCTAAAAGAATTTAGTAGAAAATTTAACAGACAGTACACGACACACATTCTAACACTAAATATAATTATCTAATTCGAACTCTTACTCGCAAGTCGAAGAAGTAATTAGATTCGCACTGCGAATATACAAAATGAAATCGTGCGTAATTTTTAATGGATTTTTCCTCGGCGAATATCGAGCTAGAGACTCGAGTAATTGGAGCGCAAGAATTTGTCGTCCATCGACAATAGTCGAAGCCCGAAGTCAATAAAGTCGCTTGCGACAGCAGTTTCAAAAAAGTCAGTGACCTTAGGAACGCCACAAATGCGAGATCCTTCCGCATTCACCTGCCTGTCTCATCTAAAAACGTATATAGCGCTAATGCGAACGCGGGATGAGAACCGCGCGATCAAATTTAGCTGGATGGCGATGGGAATAGAAGCCAATGTTGCCGCCGAGGGAACGCATTGTCTTTGGCGGGACGTAATTGCGAAACGCGTCGCCGCGCTGCACCGCGTCGCGTTGCGTCGCGTCGCGTCGCGACGCGGTGCGGTACGGCATCTCGTGTTCCGTCCTCCCGTGTGTATAAAGGCGCACGAAAATACAATGTGACACCGGGTCGCGAAAATCTCGATACACCCACGGCTTCCCTTTGGGACCCACAAAGGAGGGTTTCTGGCCTCCGCTCTGCCTGCCGTGCGGAACGCGGCCGCCGCGCTACATCGCTTCGTCGACGAGAGCTCGCGAATCATTTCTCCGCTATGCGTGCGCTCCGGATGCTCTTAACGGATTACGCGGAATGCAAAAATAAACTTTCCCGAGCGAGCGCGGCGATGGAACCAATAAGGCGGCGGAACGCTCGAAACTTTTTCTCGGAAAATACCATCTGACGAACTCCTCTCGTCGCGCATCACGACGAAAGCAGATCGGTTAATGCTTCGCCGATTGAAACTTTCCGCGCTTCGCGCGCCATGCACTTTATAGCGAAGGCTGACGCAAGACTGACATTCGCTCACTGACGTTTACGGCTTTTATTTTGCGCGAACGCGTCTATTGTCGCGATATAAATAAGACGCGAGTATTTATTCACCGAGGTTATTATTATCGACGACCACTTCTCGCGCCGTTACGTCATTAAGATAATAAATTATTTTGCCGACGTATTGATCTATTAAGACAAAGCGAATCAAGCGCGCGTTTCGTGTGTGCCGATATCGAAAAATTCGCGTGCGCATGCAACGACGAATGTGCGCCGCGCGACGAGATAACGCGCAATCGATCGTCCTCGGAAGCGGATCCAATTAAAATAAATCACGGCGCGGACGTCATATCGACGCGCTCGATTCGCGTTCTTCCCGTCGCTGCATGGGAAATTAATCGCCGTTACGTAATTGCAATTGATATTATTACGGCGGGGAAGTAACGTGATTATCGCGACATCGTGAAAGTTTCGCGAGATCTATCGCGAGTTATGCATACCGTGATTAATAATAACAAGCGTGTGATTAACTATTTGACTGCACGTGATACGGTGCCCTAATTTCGCTATTTTACATCCGTTTAGTATTAGGTATCTGTTATGTGATCTAAGGAAATAATGTTAGAGTTATCTACATAAGGAACTGTCAAATTACGTTGCTCGCAGTTGGTACTTCGAAAAATTACGTCAGCCTTGAGAAGATAACTGCACCGCATAATGAGGCGCAAAAAATTACGTAAAAATAACTTCGCAAAACTGAAAAAAAAAACTTGCGCTACAAAATAATGCAAAGTCCGAAATGTAATCTTAAAATGTGTGTAATTTAATGCAATAAAAATAGATGAATTAAATTTCTAATAATCATATTGGTTTTTATTTTCCGCAAACGCGAAAGTTAGTTTCCTCTATTTATAAGTTAATTTGTACTTTGATTAAAGATTTTTACTCACAAATAGCGTTCAAGATTTGGAATTTTCTTGCCAATATTACGCAAAGGTCTTTACAGCTGCAATAACTCGCCGCTTGAATCGTAATATATCGATTCCGGATATTCGCGACAATTAATACTGCAGTAATGTTCCATGCGCAAGGAGAGCGGAAGTCGTCCGAGTCATCCTTTATCCATACGGATCCATCATGTCACAACGAACTGAACTTGACATTTAACCGATAACGACGCCCGTTCGCTGATCAAGATCTACCTGTGCGCACAGCTACTTCTGCGATGTCGATCTGACCCGCTTTTACCGCACGTGTCCGTGTAATAATGAGATGCACGAGCGTCAGTTACACGTAATAACTTTATTGCTCTTGGAACAACGATCACCTGACGCGTGTTTACACCGCAACGACGTGTTAAGTAAGACATCGAATAATCTACGTTGCGAATTGTTACTTCCAGACGAGACTTCTGCAAGAGCGAAAAAGTATCCCGTTACCGTTCGCTCAAACGCGAAAAAAAAAAAGTTACATTGAAGTCGACGGTGAAAGAAAAAAAATGTTACACGATACCGCTCCCTCTTAATGCCGACGTTTGGCCACGATTTCTCGAATAATGCGCTGATTATTTCGCGGAAAATCGCCGAGGATTTTCTGCAATCTTCCGATTTTCGTCCACGAACTTTCTCACGGCAGACCTGCGCGCCTGCAGCCATGAATGCCATCGAACAGAAACTTCGCACTTAGAAAGCGTAATCCGTTCCAATAAGCGTAGCGGCGTGGACTCGCATTTGAAATTTAGATCCTGTTACGCGCTTCTCCTAACGTTTTCCCGGACACGGCAGAAACGGAGCGTCGCGCCTTCGGAATGCTTTCGCGTTCGCACGGACGCGAAAATTGCGAAACAGCGGCCGGGAACAAATGTACCGTTGCAATTGATAATAATCGATAGGCAGCTGACAGAACGCTTTGACGGAGAGCGCGGAAAGGCCGATAACGCGCCAACGCAACGTCTATCCAATCCGGAGGAGAATCGAGTCCGATATTCGTGCCGGCACATTATTCGCAAATATGCAAGTGAAACATGTCCACTAATCTGCTGTAACGTGCACCCCTCTTTCGTCCAATAAATCAATTAATCCGTCCGGCGAGGCGTATCTTGTGGAAAGTAATCTATTGTCTATCGGAAAACGTGACATTTAAAACGGCCTCTGACACCTTCGCACGATCCATTCTTATTTTTATATGTATATGCAGCTAAGATTGACGTATTAAAGTTGTTTAGCGAGACGAACTATTAAGGCGGTAGTCGCTTTAATTACGAGCGATAAAATCCACTGGAAATCTTCTGCGGCTAATAATCTTCCTTATCAATTTTTATTATTAATAGGGTCGAACGCTCGGTATGAAACCCAATCACGTTAGCGAGTGGCAGTCGCATGTCATCTCCACGTGGATACTTTACCGATTGCAATCACGCCAAACTGAAGACAGTCAGAAACATTTCATTACTTTGTATCTTTTTATAAAAAAGAAATTTTTTTGACATTCACGCTGTGATTCTTATAGCCCTTCCTTTGGTAATATTTTTTTATTGTTACAGAATCACACGTCAGAAATATCAATAATACTGTCATAATTTTTAATTTGTTTAATACAAGCGAAAGAAGGCCGAGCGCGACGTTCTGCTTTCTTCAACATAACACATTAACACACTTATACCGTCTAGTACAAAAATCCGAGTTCTTGCGAAAAAAAAAAAACTTTACGCTTTCCATTAAAAAAATTATTACAAAATTATACATGCCACAAAAATGTCTTGCTATATCCTACATAAAGAGCATAATTTGCTGGCATAGTTTTAAAAATTTTACTTAAAAAAAATTGACATTAAATTCGTTAATTTTATTATTAAAATTATAGTTGAGTTTTACCATATTGCAAATTGTACAACACGCTTTCTATCGCACATCTACAATAAATTATCTATAAATTGGTTCAAGAATAATGAGCACGTTCGAAATGGAAACTTTCTTGGATTGCAAAACAACGCGTTCGCCTTTCCGGTAAAATCGCTTTCCTTGCGCAACCAAAAGTACAGTGTCTATAACGGTAATAGCTTCCCGCGCGGATCCACGATCGAAGCGACGATAATATAGCCCCGTGATGATAATGCGTAACGTAAACGTAGCATGGGCACGTAACAGGTAGTGCTTCGCGTACCGTTATCGAGATTCCACGGCGGCGCGCGCGGAAGAAATACGCGATGATATCTGGAGGGCGCGATTAATCCGCGCCTGCCACCGCCGACGTCGGTGGGAACAACGGCGACGTTCATCCTAGGATGATAATTACGGCTGATTAGAGCGTTCGCGTTACCGTACCGAGTGTGCATAGAGTGATGCGCAAACAGTCACGAACAAAGATGAAATTTGTAGCAAAACTTTGACCTGAAATATAGCACTTGAAATTTCGATCCAAAGAGACCTCTGAGAGAACAAATTTATTGCAAATAATTATAAAACATTAGGAAAAAATTAAATCCAATCTTTGTAAAAAGAACAATATTTATATTAGCAATCAAATGAGGGAAGAGTGATTTTTTTCTGGCGCTAAAAAATCACTGTATTATTTTAAATTTGGATTATATTTTGGCAGTGGCGAACAATATAAAATTGATTCCTAAAGATAGCTCCACTTTATCGAAATATCGAAAAGAGTAATAAGAATTCTGGATGCCAGAGATCAGATGGATTAGTGGAAAATGAGAAGCCGCGAGGGAAAATCCAATCACGGACGCCGTCCAATCAAACTTTCGTCAAGGAAAAACACAGAGGATTAAAGTCTGATGGAAGCCTTACGAAATACATTGTATTCTTTTATAAGCATCGCGGTGACAGTTTCACAAGCTTAATTCGCATTGGCATTGACGTACTCGCTCAATGACATATAATATTAGTATCAGATACTATCGCGGGAGCAGAGCAATTTCATCTATCGCAAATATGCGAGAAATATGGAAATATCGCGCGGATCTGATGAGAATCATATTTTCAAATAAATCTAATCTGCATACGTGGATTTCGCAGCCGGGGAATAGAGAAAAAGTAGGAAGAATGAGATGACGGATGTTACGATCGCGAGATGGAGACTTCGTAATCTCTATGCATGAGGCGGGAGTGCGCAAGTTTTTAGCTTTCTACCTACGCAAACTTTTCCTTCGCTTTTTCATTTTTTTTCTTTTTTTTTGCTGACGGCATGACCAGACGCTAATATTTTTTATGCGACCCATGTTTTTTTCGTTTTTATTTATCGCTCCTTCACCTCGAAATGTAACACGCACGGTTTTCATTTCCTACAACGCGAGTTGGCACGGAGCGGATTACTTTGACGTGACCGGATCTGTGTAATTTGAGATAATGCACTTGACAAACAGATTGATCTCCGCTTCCGAATGTCGTTGCGCCAGTCGTTTCGTGCGCAAACACCGTCGGGCCGTCTGAAGGTAAACAACAATAGTTTACGCGTAAGCGGAAACACAATGCAGACAAAAGTAATTTATCAAAACATGTTTAAAGCATTCTCCGTCTCCTATTCGAGTGACAGGAGACTTTGAATAATTAAAAAAAAAATAAATTAAAAAAGTTGTTTATGTTTATAACTGTAAGTTTGAATACATTTTCCATTAAAAAATTTGATCGCGTGAATTGAGTATAATAGAAAAAATATTTGGGCGCAATATGTATGAATTTTAATTAAAAAATATTCATACGTAACTATCGTTGTGTGAAATATGCAATGAATTGTATCAATAACGTTTTTCAGTTGAAAAAATTCATTTACGATAATCAAGATTATATTTTATCATCGGCAATTGTAAATAATGTTTCATCGGATGCCGTGCTGATGCGATTTGCTTTCAGCAAATAAATTGCTTTATATAATATGATAGTTCTCAAATATCTCGTTCCATTGAATATTCCATTTCAGCTTTTAAAGTGCCAAAAGTCTAGCTCTACACGCTCAGACACATAGATAAAGCGCATGAATAGAGGCAGAGTATTCCAAGAATGCGACACAATATATATATATAGTGTTCCACTTCTAGTTCCTGCTTTTTCAATCTAACATATTCTTTCGGAATCTCTCAAGCCGATTTTTCTGTAATAAAAGCATCGTTATGTCAACAGTTTCTTCAGTTTAAGCGACAAAACTTGCGAAAATTCATATAAATAACGAAATCTTATTTTGCGCGTAATTTCGGCTATACTTTGCTCGCCTACAAATTTTAATCTAAATTTTTCATATCAAGATATTTTTACGTGTAATCTTTCTCACCGTTTGCGATTTTAAATTTCGTTGAAGATTATTTGTTTCGGGGGAAAAATACGTCAGAGACGAAAAAAGCTAGCACCCATGAATTCGAAAAGCCAGGTAAAATAAATACTTGGAATGCCATGCGGTCCGAATAAAATTAGCAATCAGGAGCGGTTTCGCTGAATTTTTACAAGTGCCTCAGGATCGATACAGAGGCATGCTGGACAGTTTTTCTGGGAACGGTCAGATTTTTCTTGTTTCCGAACATATTTCCGTCTGGCTAACATTTTCGCCGTTTCGCGACGAGAAGCATTTTTGATCGCGGCCGATGACAGAAAACTTTATTAACTGATGATACGATTAATTATATAACCGTTAACTATTTATGTCAATCTATTCTGAAATTTCCGACCCGATTGGGCGTGGTCTGACACTTTGACGTTTTAACTTGTTAGTGAAGTAAAGCGTCCTTCCATTACAGGTAATACACAATACTCGTTGGAAAATCCATTTCACAGAAACTTTATGAAAGCCTCGTGTAAGCTTATAAATATGTTACATAATTTTAATAACTTTGTTGAAACAAACTTCTATTGATGTAATAAATGAAAAGATGAGAAATATCGAGTAATAATAAATTAAAAATAACATCATCTCGAATTATTTATATCGTTTTATCAGAGTTATCTCAATTTCAACCGATAGAATTCAACCTGGATATCATTAAAATAGAAATTACATTCCGCGAAAGCACAAAGTTATTCATCTTCGCGCGTTGTGCATAATATATTGACAAATCGATGATGGCGAACAAATTCGCAAACTTTAGACTTCGAGGACGCGTTGTGCCGATCATTATCGCGCGGCGTAATTATTTGAGGTCAGAAATATGCGTGTGTGATTGTTAATGTATTGACAATCACAGGTCGTATTAATTTCTTCACACGCATTTCGAACTCGCATAAAAACTTGGAGCAGATAAAGTTTTTGTTTCCGCGTGGCGTCACATCGCTTTTTACTGTCACGATATTGAATGTCGTTTAATGCGTAGTAGTTACAAAAACCACCTATGAATATCGATGACTACTGTGTGTACTACTGTGTACGTTGCGAGAATTTACAAATTTAATCGAGTTTAGTTTTAATTTAATCAAACATTCAATTTTCGTGTGTACCATTATATTCGATATTGCAATGTGTAAACATCATAACGCACGAAAATATCGTTGTTAAATTTAGGATTACGCCATTTCTGTGGCTTTATTCAAATATTATTAATGCTTTATATATATTATTTGGTTTTGGTTTGTGCCAGATGTTTATCTGAGTAAAGGAATATAATTTTTGAAATAATATTTTACAGGAAGATTTGCGCAAAATGCTTGCAAAGAGCCTTTTTACTTTACTAAGTTTTAAAACCATTCAAAATTAATTATACATTAGCAGAAATTACGATTTATTTATTAATAACTCTGACGGACATCATAATTCATTATTAATCATTATTATTGTAATAGCTCTCGGTATATTTTATCACGATATTAAATAAACATCAATATAAAAAGCATAATTTGTTTTAAGTAATAAATATTCAATTAAAATTTTTCACAATTCATTATTTTTCTGCTATCTTACTTATTTTCTAGAAATTATCATTATTTCACAAACTAGACACGGTATAAAATTATTATTGCAGAGTTTTTATTATATATGGAATGTGAAATATTATTTCTCTGTATTATAACAGGAATAACTCATAATTGGAATACTTTAGTTAAGTTACCTGCTATTAGTAATAATAATGCAGTAATAATAATGATCAACATCGGAAAGAGCCTGGCAGACTTATAACTTCGGAAATATTAAGTTTCTGTAAAGCAGTAATTGATTAGTCCGCGGAAACTTATTGTTCCCTCGTGAACTTCCCGTAATGTACACACAGTATAGAACGATCCCCGAGGAAGATGTATAGACAATTCTCGATAAAAGGATGGAGAGAGCTCCTCGTCAGATCGTGTTACATTGCGTTCATGTGTTTATTCATCTGAACTCACGCGAGATCGCAGACCACCAAGCGAGATATCGTGAATTTATCGGACGACGGACCCACCCAAATATCTCGGGAAGGACAAGTTCCTGCACGATCGATATTATCGCACGATAACGTCGTCAATAGTAGCTATTATTGACAGTTCATGTGTGCTAAATAATTTTGATAAATATATTATCAGCGATAACATTGTTATTTGATGATATGCGCCGACGAGGAGCCTTTAGAGCTGCGCTCGAAATATTATTGCGAGAAGATAACTCTTCTAGTTGGAAAAATATCACATGTTTACTTTGCAGTGTTTCTTTTATTAAAATGTGAAAATCTAAATATTCAATGTATTGACAAGGTGCCGCTTTTGACAAATCAGCGCAAGTATAACAATGTGACATAAGTGTACCGTTTTCGTACGAATAATAGAGCGGCATTTGATCAATAATAGGTTTCTTCTTTTTGCTTTCTTATGGTTTTCAATTGGAATGGAATAAACTGTGTTAACACTTTGAAAAAGTGAAAAATGAAAGAGAAGAAAAATGAAATCTGTAGAAAAGTATATCGATATACATATAAAACTCGCAGTTTTGGTCAGGAATTTAAATGTTATAGAAAGATAAAAAAGCAAGTATTGTGTAATATCATAATGTTACTAAAAAGATTGTTTTCCACCAATAATTGTGACATACGAATTTAAATTAAAGTTTACGTCAAAATACAAGATATCATAATCATGACATTTTGTGCCTTTTGAAATTAACGTAAAACTGAATCCATTTATTTCCAAATAAATTGATATTTGCGTGATTTTGTTTCGAATTTTGATCAAAGCGGGACGTCGCAGTTGCAACTTCTCGAGCACAGCCACGATGATGACCTACATGCAAAAGTCATTGACGGAACATTATTGACGTTAATATAATTGTGTCAAAGTTATCTTATCGAACAAGATCGCTCGGTGCGACGACCGCACGGGAACAATATAGCAATCGCAGACGGCGGACGAGTAATGTCCGAGGCCATTTTTACAGAAGAGTCCACTAGGGATCATAGGAGAAAATAAACTAGGCGCATAGGAGATTAACTCACCTCTTTGTCCGCTAAACCGACGGAGATGACGAGTTGAGCCAGCACCCCGCTAATCCGCCCACGGCCCGGTGCACTGTCATTTGTTATGCGGATTCATATACGCGTGTCGGCCGTGCCGGCGACGGCGACGATGATCAATGCCCACGGTGACACTCTTCTCGCCCGAGCTCTTCACGACGCCAAGCGTCGTCCGCGCGAACCGTCGAGGATGCCGTTCGACGACGACGACGAAACCAGCGGCATCGAACGTCGCTGGTGGGCCGCCCCGTTTCACTTGAGACGCTTGTTTACACAGCACCGCTCGATCGCTTCTCACATTCCTCCGTTCGCGATGCAATCCTCGTCTCTCTTTCTTTCTTTCGCTCGCTGTTACTCGCTCTCGTTCTCGTGGGTGCGAAACTCGTGCACTCACTGATAGATCACCTCTCTTCCTTCTCGACTATCTTCCTCTTCTTTGTACCTTTCGTTTTCGTCTTCACCTCTCTCTTTCTCTCTGTTTCTCTCTCCCTTCTTCTATCGGATTACCTCGCCCATCCGCGACTAGTCTCTCTTTCTGTCTCTGTTACTTGTCTATCTTTCGCCGTAGATAGTCGCAGAAGGCGATTTCCGGATACCTTCCCGTCGGCCCGATGATGACGATGCGCCGCGGGCGCGACACACTTCCCACTTTTTCCTCTTCTCTCTCTCTCTCTCCTTCTACTCTTTCTCAATTCGCCACCGCCTGTCCCGCTTCTTCGTATGTACAATTGCACACGCGCGCGGACACACACATATAAGCACAGGAGCGCCGCGCGCACGGGGAGAGCGTACCTCTACGTTGCCGTTGACCGTTTTTCCCTGATTCTCTCACTCTCCCGATCGTGTTAGGCCGCTCTCGCGATCCGTCCGTGCGCGATCCGGGACGCGGATTCCCCGGGATCGACGCTCGGCACTGAGTCTCAATTCTTTCACCTCGGATGAAGGTTGCAATGACGAACGGCACGACGAGTGCCGAGGAGACGACGAATACACGCACACCCGCGGCACCGTGACATACGAGAAAGCTGGAGAACGTACTCGGCGCAGTCGACGACACTCGGGACGCGCTTCGAGCGCTAGCCGGCCGTTCGACAGCACCGTCATCTCGTGGGCGATTCGCATACTATCGCGGTAGCGCGAAGTACGAAACCTTTTTTAGGAAGCATCGAATCATAACTTTGACGAGATATTGTATATTCATAAATTGCACATGCGTTTATGCCGAATATATATATATAAATAGTAGCTTACGATTGAAAATGATAATCGATTGGCAAGTCTGTATCATATTTTAGCATGCTACGCGATGCCATTCATTAGTGTCGACATCTTGCAGCGTCGTATTGCACTTGCTGGCAGAAGTCATCGACGATTGATAATGTACTATTAAAGATTGAATCAGTTGGTAATGTTAATATTTGGATATTCAAATGTTTGTAACACGCTGCCTTTAGATGGCGATACCACAAAAATTAAATGGAATAGGACGTTCTACCGCAAGAATGGCTGATCCACACTTGTCATTTGGGCTTAGCAAACCCACGGACCTGAGCTCACACACTGTGGTCATACATACACACATACACTAACGCATTTACACATTACACACACGTGACATATTGAAGAAGACATTGTATTCCGAGCTTGTGTTAATGAATAGCTGTATGGCCACGTGCCGCAGCTTCCTTTTTACTCTCAATTAAAAAAAAAAAGAATAGGACGTTCTTTAGCTACAAGTAAAAAATAAATGTTGAACGCGATAGAGCTGTAGATAAACACATATTTCTTGAAAGCGATGAAAAAATGGATTTGATGCGACTTAAGTGCAACAGGAAGTTTTTGCAAAGCATACGCATGTTTAATCATAATGTGTGCAAATATAAAAATAATAAATAAAATTGTTTATAATTATTAAAATAAGAATTACAAAAATATATTTACAAGTATGGTTATGCAAACTCTAAAAATAAAAATAACTCAATGATGAATTCAATAAATTTCAATATTTACAAAATAATTAATTTTATGTTGTTGTGTTGTTCTGATGAAAAAGTCTAAAGAATGCTTTTACGATAACAATCAGCAGCGATATATTCAGCGAAGTAACATTAATCAGTTTGGCGAATATTGCGAATCCGTCTCTGTTGACTTTCGAATTACGCAGCGTCGTGCATTCGAACGACGTGATGAATGTTTAATTTTATTGCCCGCTTGTAGATTCGTATCATGTATATGCGATGTAAAATAAATATACCACTGATATAAAAACTGTCCGTGAACGATCTTTATGTGCATAAATATTACGTAGATTTTATCGTTTGTTTTGTCATGTGTAGAAAAAAATATATACAAATTTTGGAACATTAGCATTGCAATTAAATCGTTAGAAATACAAATTTGTGACTATTGAACATAAATTATAAAAACTAATAATCATTGTAACAATTATCACAAACTTCATACATTCTACAATCATAACAAAAATTTCCCATGTGATATGCAAAACGTAATTGCTATTTTTATAAGTATTATTTATCCATTTTGTATATATACGCACAATATTTTCACCAAGCTTGTGTTTTAAGATGTCATATATAGAATACAATATTTTTTATATGCTTTAAGCTAATTGCACCAGTTAATATCGTTAATTAATTAAATACACTCTTTTCTATCAAAGTATAGACATAATTGAAATATAAGATCTTAACTATTTAATTAAGCTTTATATTATTAGAATTCCATATTTATACATAAATTTTGGATTCATCGATAAGTATAATGCCTGCCCTTAGAAATGGTAGATGTGCGGGCAAACCGGCAAGACGCCAAGATCAGCTCGCCAGCCGCGCTTTCCGGTTTGCGTTTTATAAATACTACAGACAGGCAAACAGTGCACCGAACACGGCAGACCAGTCGTGAAATCACTCGAGGTGCGTGGCCGCTCGTGTAGCACGATCTGCTCGCGTCCGAAGAAGAGCTATCGATATCCTTGCGTGAACTCTACGATCCGCGTGTCCGCGTTATTAACGACAATTTTACTCGCGAGTGCGCTTTCGCGGGGAGACATGCGTTCCCGATGGTGTTAATTGTGCCTCTTCGTGTCTCCTGTGTTTCTCCGAATCTCTGTGTGTGGAAGGACTCTCACGGGGAAGTGCGCGAGGAAGCACGCGATCTGTGAATTTACATGAGCGCCCTCACGCTGTGCGTGTTCGCCTTTCTGTGAATCGCGAGCAGTGGATTGCGCTTACATAAATAACGACGGGAGACCGATTCGCCGCAGATTCTATCAACCGTAAGTTTGCGTTCACCGATACGAATAGGATTTAAATAAAATTCATTCGTTGGATGCTCGCGGGCATCGATTTTCGCGTGATACTTTTCGCAAAAGACGACGACGTATGCGGCAATCTAATAATAAAATACTCGTTAATTGTACGGGAACTAAAGAAAATAAATAAATTACATTACATTTCAATAAAAGGCAAATAAAATACAAAGTATCTGACGTTTTAAATTTTACATCTGGACTCTCGGAAATAATTTGATGCATATGTGAAGAGAGACGGAAGTGTAGCACGTGTATACTTATTTTTATCGCGCGAGTAAAAAATCGCAGGAAACACCGCTTAATTAATTTAAAACTCACGAAAATCGCATAATATGTTTTTGCGCCAGCAGCTCACGAAAATACGTTCGCTCTCTAATCGCTAGAAAATATTTCGAAAACTTTGATCTTGTATCTATTGTCGTAATCTGCCAAATAATATGTATACGGCGTGTGCCGTATACATATTCTTGGTAAGATTCGAAGCGTCTCTCTCTTTCTCGCCCAGCGTCTTGCGCAACAATCGTACGCGACACAAAAATACTAGCCGGCTGCACGGACGATGCACACTCTCGCGGAATTGCGATTTCAAGCTGTTAACGATTCGTTGTTGGTCTCCCAGCGAAAATAAAATATCGCGCATCATTAAATTCCCATTTTACGACTGGATACAATCATCCGGATTTATTACTATCGTGTCCTACTTCTCACCAAATGCCATTGTCCATCATAACGTTGGAATTCTATTTATCTCGTTGCCGAACACGCGCATCGATGCATGTAATTTGTACAACGTGGATTTTGTCGCGCGATGTACAATAATTCGAATTTTTCAAGTTATTTGGATAAATTTTAATCTCATAAGTCGATTAAATGTTTTTGCAGAATAGAGTGCGTTTCAAAGAGCGAAACTATTTCAAAACGAGGCGATTGACTAGCAATATTGCGAAATTCACAAGAGCGACAGGATGTAATATCTGGAGGGTGCAATTGATTCGCGTTGAGCCGTGAAGTCTATTCTCGGTGATAAAAGGCGAAGGATTATCGAGATGAGCGGAATGAAGAAGGCGATCGGTGGATCCATTCATAGAATACGAGAGTTCGAGCTCGAGAAGGTAATGTTAGTTCCTTTCGTGTTTTTTCTCAGTTTTTCTACAAGAAACCGGATACAATTGGCTTTCTTTTTCTTTGTAAGCGCGATATTTCCCTAAAGTCGCAGCACTCCTCTCCTCCGAATAAAGAAGCTTAAACAACGGCGATGGCGAACCTTATCCAGCCACTGAGCCATTGAGATCTCGAAATAGGATTCGCGAACGAGCAGCATTTCATTATGCTTGCTCGACTAACGGCCATTCTCCTACCTGGCATTGCACCAATGTTTCCCTAACGGAGAATTTGTGACGACGACGTTTGCGACCGTGACTCGTCGTCATTCGCGTTGGATCGCTCGTGACTTTGTATCTAATAATGAATCAGACTCATCAAATTTTATTATGATTATGTTTTATGATAATTATAAAAGTCTCAGAAATAAAGATTTTTAAATTTATTCAATCAACAATATTAAAAAAAAATTATTTAAGAAATAATATGTTTTAAACGGGATATATTTTTGCAAATAATATTTCAATATGACAGAACAAATTTATTAACTTCATCAATAAAACATGAAAATTGCTGCCTACAATATTTGAGATGAGATCAGTTAAATTTCTCTCAATTAACTTTATTTATTTATTATTTTTAATTTGTTTTAATTAACGTGCTTGAAACACGACACAGTAAGCAAATTTATATTTCGTGCAAGTATTTTATTTATATTTACTTCACATTAATAGTTAAAAATTTCTCATTGTATCAAATATTAGAGTAAAATGTAATCTCATTTTTACAAGCAAAAATTGTTGCAATTTTATTGCAGTTTTCTTTATCCGATCAAAGAACGGTCGAATTTTCATTGCGGCGAGATATATGGTTCAATGGAACGGCGTTAAGGGGAAACCTTAGTTACTATGTGTCGGGTTCGCATTGGGATCAGAGTAAAAATAAACCTCGCGTTAAGATCGGGCGGAGCGCCGCGTTGTATACAGTGTGCAGCGGATAATGCATCGTGCTCGCGAAATCCTTAAGTTTCCCTTTGGAATCGCATTTTCCTTGTAACATTACGAGCACATTTTCCTTGTAACATTACGAGCGTTCGCGTCCTTTGTCTCAAAGCTCTCAAGTTACTCGTTCTCTCTTTCTCTTTCGAGTTTGAGCATCATTAAGTTTCCACTGTGAACGTCTAAAGCGCTACTTCGAGCATTCTACTGGCTGGAGGAGCAGCGACGCGATTCTATCGATCACGGCGATCGTTATGCACGGCAGCACGTCAGCAACTAATTATTTTTTGGAACAGGTAAATCTGATCGACGAGTTCGACATTCTACAGATAGTCGGCGAGGGATGGTTCGGCAAGATCTTGCTGACGGAGCACCGCAGCACGCAGACCGAGATGGTGCTGAAGGCCTTGCCGAAGGCCTACACCGGCATTTCAGACTTCTTTCGGGAATTTCATTATGGATTACATCTGTCGGCGCACAGGAATATCATAACCACTTACGACGTGGCGTTCGAGACGGCCGGATTCTACGTTTTTAGTCAAGAATACGCCCCGCTCGGTGAGAGAATTTTTTTATCACGTTCGCGCTCGCACGTGCGCGCCGACTATTTGTGGATCTTACGAATCAAGCGCGTTCATTAATCATTTTAAACATTTGAATCCGCTGTGCAATTTATTATTTTACCAAATTCGTAAATAAGAATATTTGGGTTTGAGTATAATAATTAACAATATGATAATATAATGAAAAATTTTTGATTGTTGAAAAGTATATTGTAAACCTAATAGAAAAATCAACAATTTATCTTTCAAAAGCCAAGGTTTTAAGTTCACTAAATTTACAAATACAATTCGTTGCTAATAAAAATGCTTCATACACAATTAAATTTAGGAGTAATTGATAAATTTATAAACGTATTTCCTCCAAAATTACCAAAAATTCATTTTTTGAAAATGGAATAAATTGCACACACTCTCTCGGTGACAGTTTCTGCATACATATTTTGTGTATTCCGATACACAAATAACAAGACTAAACAATTCCAAATAATTCACCGATTATTCCGAGACACGACGTAGTTATCCGCGATTGTAGACGATAAAGAGACGACGAAGCTTCGCGGGCGCGTTGCCGTATAAATACGTCTCATTGTCAGTCGCGATGCCATCGATTTTCAGGCGATCTCACGTCGAACGTGACGGAAACCGGGCTGGGCGAGCTGCACGCGAAGAGGGTGGCCAGGCAGCTCGCCGCTGCGGTGTATCACATACACAGCCGCGAGCTGGTGCATCGCGATATCAAGCTCGACAATATACTCGTGTTTCGCAGCGACTTCTCGCGCATCAAGCTGTGCGACTTCGGCGAGACCAGGCGGGTCAACACCGTCGTGCGAAGGCACAACGAGTGGCTGCCGTACTCGCCGCCCGAGGTATTGCAGATCGACACTGACGAGACGTACAAGTAATTATATATATGCTGTGATTGTAACCATTAAGCGCGCTTGTCGCGTTATATTTTTACTTTTCTTTTTAAGATCTTGTAAGCGATAAAATTTTGATCGAGTTTCGAAAGCTTGATACTGCATAGAGAAAATTTATACAATACATTCCTGTGTATTGTGTGAATCATATCTAACGTGTAGCTCGCCCACGGCCGCTGAATGTATACATTTTAACGGCGACGGACGGACGACTTTCAGAGCTCGCACGTCGCACGACGTCTGGCAATTCGGCATTGTCCTATTTGTCTGCCTGACCGGATGCCTGCCATGGCAGAAGGCGGCGTTGGATGATCCGCGCTACACAAGATATCAAAACTGGCACAACGCGACGCTTAACATCGCCAAGAAGCCGAAATTATTTCAGCTGATCAGCTCGCGGGCGCAGAGGTGAGTTTTCGCTTGGGAATGCAAGATTGAGCGCCGCATTGGCGTGCATTCCAAGTGAATCCAACGTGATACAGTAGTAGCTATTATTCATTCACTATTTACACTTTCCTCACTTATGTTTTTTTTTTTTTTAATCATTTAAATCAATTCTCAAATTATTAATCATTCTTGATGCAGATTACAGGTAGAAATTTTAATAATTTAACCGCATCAATAATAATAATATTACACTTCTTAAAGAATGTTCAAAAGACTGCTCGACCCGAAGGCTGACAAGCGACCTGTCAGCGTGTTGGAGGCAAATAAATATTTAGAGGACAGATGGCTGGCGAAACTCGGGGCTGAGAAAGCGTTGAATGGTAAGTTGGCTTTTAGATCGCAATATCGCCGGCGATATGTCGCAATTTTTCTCAGCGACGCTCCCCCTCGTGTTCGCAGGCGGCGCCGACGAGAGAGACGAGCTCTGCCCGTCTATGTACAGCTTCCACAGTTCCTTGGAGGAGAAGAATCAACTCCTACACACGCTCACGACGTACGGCATCGAGACGACGGTGGATCGATCGAAGAAGAAGGATCGCATCAGACAGTGGATCCAGGCTAGCGCGATCGTCGAGGAGAACGAGGGGGACGAGTCGGATACGTACGAGGATTCAGAGTTCTATGAAGATGAGGATAACGAAAGCGACGAGACGGATCCGGTTCCCATGCGGGGCAGGCATTTCCCGGAGAGGCGTCCGAGCGCCGCGACGAACGATCGTCGAAAGAGAAGAGGCAGCACCGCGTCGAAAAACAAAGTGCCCGTAAAGCCAGTCGAAAGGAAAATACCCTTCGCGCCGCAGGTGGCCGAGGAGCGAGAAACAGTCGCGCGCTTTGCCAGTTTTCCCAACGGCGATCCGAATCTCGCCGTGAGAAACGGCAGCGATCAATCCCGCGACACTTCCGCAGCATCGATCAACGTCATCTCCGACGTATCGCCCAGCACCAATGGCCGAAGCGTCAAGGATCCCGCGAGAACTAACGTTAATAATTCTCAAGACGAATCATTAGAGCGTGCCACGCTGCCGATCAAACAATCACCGCCGAAGATCGCAGCGGGCGCACCGGATTCCGGAAATAAGGTCGCGCCGATGAGTCCGCAAATCCCGGCTAGAAAAAATCGTGCCCATACAGCGCCGTTTTCGGACGTGCGATCGAGCGAAAAGCAAGCGGAATCCTCGGCGAGAAGGACACAATCCGCGGCGGTTTTGCAGACGCCGGAGGCGGAGGATCCGCCTCGGACGAAGACGTCCGCGTCGCCGCATCCGTCGGCGGGTCGAGCGAGCCATCCCTCCGTCGCTGCGTTATCGGTATCGCGAACAGCGAGATCAGCCGCTCCGCCGGTCGGCCGAGCTGATAGAGGAGCGGCCGCGTCGGCAACAGGCAACGCGGAGACGCAGCCTCCGAGCGGTGTTCCGCCCGCTCGAGTCGAGAGCTCGCCGCCAGTAGTGGCGCAAATCACGATGCCGACGAACGCTATGTCGGCCGCCTCTCATTTGGTAATGCAGAGCTTCAACACTCTGCAGGATATCGCGGCGAATCATCAGGTTAGCAGCGGCACGCCTTCGTCGACGACCTCGCCGGCGAGCTCGTCGTCAAATGTCAGCAAACCCGGTCAACGGATCGAGGAGAGGACCGTGGCATATGGCAAAGACGCGTACGCGCACTACGGTATCGCTCACGGAGCTATCCTGCCGATGAGAGTGAATGTCGTCAGGCAGGACTCCGCGGGCAGTGGTAGTCGATCTGTCAGCAATTAACATGCAAACTTAATGACGCACCGGATTACCTTGTCACTAATTACAGCTAAACATTCGCGCAAACTAATCGCGAAACAAATCGATACTGTAAATACACACGCTTGGAGGTGGATATTAAAAATTTATCTTTCCTCGAAAAAAAAAAAAAAAGAAGACTTGGCGCAAGACACGGGTGTATATCTTGATTTGGCAAACCGCTCGAATGGAAAGATCGCGGAAGCAAACACGTGAAGTATGAATATTTGCCATCCGTGCGATATTTTCCATTTTATAACGTTGAGGTCATTATTGAAAAGCTGTTGCTTTGAACAAGATTGCCAAAAGTTCCTCCGGAACGCGTATTATGCTAATTATGCGACGCTACGCAATGTTCGAGTCTACGAAATAAAATAAATTCGTTGCGAAAATAACGTTTTTACAACACCACAGTATAAATGGAGACATCATGTTACGTACGTACGTCATGCTTCATTAGTTCCAAGGGACACTTATATCGCCACGTGTCGCTCGCTTCGTAGAGCATAACGGGATAAAATTAGCGCGGCGTCTCGGAAGAGTTGCACCGCACGAGAATGTAGCGCTCGATCGTTATTTTTCGACCGCGAAAAACGGAAAAATTTCTATGCATGCATTCTCTCTCAGATCCATTTCTTTTTTAAGGTTCAATTTGTTAATATTACGTAACGCACTGAATGTCTTTTCTCGAGGGGAAACGCGCGGAGAAAGATGCGGCCTGCGGAATGCGAGTTAGTTAAATATATGTGCCTTGTGATATTAGAGATCATGTATAGAGCTGTCTGGCTAAAATGCGAGTGTAACAAATCGAGAGGAATGCGAGAGAATGTGAAGTATATGTAAATGTGAAGCGCGATGATTTGTATATATTATCTATGAAATATAATATTTATTGTGCTTTCACGTGTTACTCTATTTTTCTTATGAAGAAGAGCGTTAATAAATTATTGCAAGTTTGCTTGAGACTCGCGTATTGCGATTCAATATGTCAAGAATTTTAAAAACAGCGATGTACGCGAGATACCGTTTCGACGTAGACATACTATGAATAAATCATACGATACCATATTAAACCCGTGCCACTGACACGGTATATTTGTATTGTATATTGAATGGCGTATTGTCTATGCTAATAGTGCGCGGACTATTTACAGAACTATATTTCACTTTCTGTCATGTTAAAAGTACAATAGCAAAGAGAGGCGATCAGTCAGACGCATATATGTACGCGCAGAACACTCGGACAGATTATACGAACATAGTCATATTGACGGCACTTCTATTAGTATGTAACAATCAGATCGATATATACGAGCGCGCGCCGCTAATCGCTAATTACTACCGATGTTCGATATTATCTGATTTACGTGCTGCGGCCGTAACTATTAGATAAGCTTCCTTCGGCGGCGATTTCCGCTTAAACTCCGACGTTGCGACTATTAGCGTCGCTCGAGGAGAGCGCGAACGACGAGAGAGAGAGAGAAAGAGAGAGAGAGAGAGCGAGGGAGAGAAGGGCGAGGCGAGAGAGCCGCGAGGGTGCGCGTTTGGCGATGTGGAAATAATTCCCGGGCGAGCCGTGGCACGAATTAATTAAGAGATACGTAAGTAGCGCATATTGCGCGGGAGACGCAATTACCGTCGTCTTTGACGCCGAGGAGTAACGCGGCGGCGTGCAAGAGATATGGAGGACCGTCGCGCGCGCGCGAAGGTAGCGCGCGTTGTTTATCGTCATAAGCTAACTGGCGGAATACTGGCGAAAACTTTCCCGACGTAAGCGTTAATTAGTGTTTGAGTCAACGCTACTCGTGGAATTGCTAATTGACATTTTTGACGGTGCACTATATTATTATAGATTCGCCCACGCGTGGCGCCAAGCGCAGATGCCAGATACGAGATACATTTTTATAACATTTCTGCAATAGGTTTTCGCTGTATCAGTTGCATTATTGGTTACTGTTAATAAAATAATATTAATTAATTATCGACTTGTTACGAGATTTTATACGCTGCAAATATATTTATCTATGCGCTCTAATAATGCATCGTTGCGCTTTTCTGATGGAATCAACCTTGACAATATAAGAACCGACAATTTGAATCATATGAAATTGCCGAATAATTATTGAACGTGTATGTACGTACCTCATGTCCGCTCACGAAATAGTCGTGATTATTCCCGATGCGTCATACGAGCGCAACTGTCAACGTAAGCTGACCGAAAATCGTCGCTCCGCCGAACGTCACGCTTGACACCTTCGCTGTCCGGTCTACCGGTCCAAAAGTCACGTGGATGAAAATTGATGAAACCACAATTGGTGTTAATGGTGTACCGCAGTTGCCCCTTCGTTGATATCATCCAGCAACCTCCTGCATCCTTGTTACATCGCATTTGGGCGATGTCTATTTCGGGATCGATCGAACTTGTTTCGCTGCCGGGGCTTTGGTAATAGACGCAAAACCAGAATCTACGAGAACGTACAAATTTAATCGCTAATGGTATCGTTACGATGAACAAAATATTAATGCTTTTTCGCATGTGAGAGATACTTAGCACAAAATTACTCACGTTATCAGAAACCATAAATAACATTATACGCGTATTAAAAGTATTCGTTTCATTAATTCCGTATTCTTTATATTTTTTTTTAATCATCGTAATGCTCGGCAAACTTTACATTGCTTCGTGACACGTTAGATGAGAAGATTAAAGAGATCAATGTTAGAATAATTGACGCTCGCGTTATATTTTTAAATGGTATAATTAATATGATCATTATATATCTCTTTAATGAACATGGAGATTATGGGTGCGATGAGTATCAGGTACTTATAATCAATGAGTACGTCACGATCGAGAGTGAGCCCATCATGCTAATGTTCCGCAAGGCAGCTTCGGGGGGAAGGACCTTTCCGTCGCGAACAATCTCGCGCGGAGAATGCGTGCTTCGCGCGCGCTGCACCGTCATCCGACACGTGGGACGTGACGAGAGAGCGTATTAATCGTTTATGGAGCGTGCAAACGCAACTGCCTGACCCCGCTACTCCCCCCCCCCTCCCTCGTCCCCCGAGCGCTTCGACGTCGTCGTCATTCTTGTCGCCGCTCGAAATCGGATCAAATCGAAAGCAATCATCGCGTGCCGATTGTGGGGTACGTAGCTGCAGCCTGCGCAACTCCCGTCGCTAATTCGAAACGCGTTATTTGATTTGCCGTGCCATCGTTGGCGTCGCGCCGACTAAATGAAACGCGACATCCGAGGATATTTAACGTGCGCCACGAGATGACAAAGCACGGGTGCATCAAAGTCGATCATTATAATTGTCGTAAAATAAACATGGGACGAGCAACGCACTTTTACAATATATACACGCGCGACGATAAAATGTATCGACGAGCGAATATATTTCGGTCCGAGCGCGTGGTGCTCGCACAGCGGAGTTATATCGTTCGTCATTCTTTTCGCTCGCGCTCATCTCTTCCTCCTCTCTGTCCCTCCTCCACCCGGCCAGTTTCCTGCCGGGCTGACAACCGGGTGTCGGATTACTGTCTTCCATTTCTACGTAAGTGTTCGAAGGGCTGAATTAATCCCGGCCGGTTGCCGACTTTTGAAGCCGGATCGCAGTCGAAGACTCGGGGAATCTGAAACAGGATAGAATACGCGAAAAATAGCGAGCCTGCTCCAAGTTTCCCAGGCAAACTCAGATGTAATAGGTCTGTATTCTGCTTCGTGACTCATTTCTCGATTGTACGCACTCTACAATTATCCTATGTATTCCTCAACGCGAATATCGATTGTTGCAGCGTCGATTATACTTAGTCATCTTATGTCACAATTATACCTGCATTCCAACAAAGCCTTATCCTTTTAACGAGCGAATTTTCTCATGTTTTCTTAACTAGGAAATAAAAGCGGAGAAAGGAAACATCGGAAAATGTACGTCCTGACAACAACGTCGCGCAGTAACCGTTGTTTTTATAAACAGACGGAAACGGATGTGAGTCTTCTTCCGCGTTGCAACTCGACGAAAGGACCGAATCAACCACGTGCGTTCACGTTTCGAACAACCCCTGATCCCCAACCTCTTTCCGGTCATCTTCGTCGTGGAAAAGAGCAAGAGACGTTCGATTGCTCGAATGTTCGCCGATATAATATTCTCGAGAATCGGGGGATGTGGAACAATCGATTGATTGTGCATGAAATGGAATTGCTCTCAGGCGCAAATGTAGACGAGCGTTCGATGGAATGAATTGCATATTAATGCGTTGTTAGGTTTCATATGGCACCGTATTATTCAGTTAAGTATTCAAAAGCACCGAAATTTAATATTAGTTCGAGTAATGTTATATTGCGACAACAAAGCGCATATCGATGCTATCGCGAATGTTATCAATTTCGGAGCAATTAATAAATAAATGTAGAATTGAACAGAACGCTGTTATCAAATAAGCAAATTTCCACGTCGCATAGTACGCAATTAAATATACGAAATTACTGAAAATAATAAAATATTCTTAATTAAATGAATAACGACTCGCTATGCATCAACTGTCGCCATAAAAAATTAAACATTCAAGCATTAAAAAATTAAATATTCCATATTATTCGATAATAAATCAATTATAATGAGAAAATATCGTGCAATCGAAGAGCTGATTACTTATAAAGATATTCTACTGGAATATTTTAAAAGCCTTCGCAACTGATCGAAGGCTATCGGTTCTATTTGCGAAAAATCGCTTCCACCCACGCATCCGCTACCAACGCGCATACGCTTTGACGTTCCGGCCGTTCCGTAATTAGCCGAAAGCCCGCTAAAACGATGGAGTATGGAACGATACCGTGTGCACAATGCCGTCAGCTTTCAGATTTATTTGGAAAAAAGACCAGCCGCGCGCGCGCGCGCGCGGCGTGATGCTGGCTAAAATCGTACGCGCCGTGTGTGGGCGCCATAACTACGTAACGCAACGCGTTCTGCACTAACAGGTTCGTTATGGTTCGCGCGCGAAATGCAGATCGCCAAACGGCGTTGTAAATTCATCCCGATAATGCGGCCGCGTGGTAACGCGCGTGGCATCTTACCTCGTAAGACACGAACGACAGACAGTATGCGAATAATACATTATATCGCTCATCGCTGGCCACCCGGAATAAATCTTAATAAGCGCAATGCAAAATGCGAATTATTTGCGTGTGAAAAATACGGTTCTCCTCTTTGAAATAAAATTAACATTTTCGCAATGCCTCGCATATTTTGCTGACACGAATATGATATTGAGTTCGCATACCATTAGCAAGTTATTACATTTCATAATTTAAATTGAATTGACTATTTACGTATGTTATGATCAAGAATAAATGGAAAATGCTTGAAGCAAAAATTGCTTAGTTATATTCGCTGTAATTTACAAGTTTTTGGAAAAAAAACAAATATATGCAAAATTTAAACATGATAAAAGCATACGCGATATAATCGAATTTTGAGGAACACAGATTTTTATTAATATGTGCATTTTTAGTTTCGATCGCGCAATGTTTGCAGATAATCCCGTCGCAGATACGACGCCTTCATTGTGCGTCATCGAAAGAGTGCATGCGCTGTCAGAGTAAAGAAAAAAATTAGCATACTTAAGAGATACATAGTCGGGGGGGGGGGGAGGGGGAGTACGAACGGGTTTACAGTGTTCAACTGTCGCCACCCTCATTTGAGTATCACGCACGAGTATCACGGCACGCGATAAAATATGGTGCACAGGACGCGTGTGCATATGCGAACATGCTTCGTTACGCTTTATTTTCCTACGCTCCGCCGGGCAGACAGTTCTTTGTGTACAGTCGAAATTATCAGCTCTCAATAATAAACTGGAAAATTTCTGACGCACTATACGAATGATAGGTTCGTATAATTGTAATTTTCCCCTCGAAATTATATGCAAATTTCGTGTATGCTTTGTACGAAATGCTCTGTACAGCCCGCCTAGAATACGAGATTTGGCACGTTTACCATCCGCGAATCGATCCACGACGAGATGTCGGTGACCGTCGAGACGTTCTGGAGCGATGAGACGGTTCGTCGAAAAACAGTCTTACCCCCCTGCTCCTCCCGGATTCTGGGTTACGATGCGACGGACAGACGCCCTTGTGAAAATATTGTTTCAACGCGTCAAGACTTCGCGGACAGGCTGATATTATTTTAGGGCCGAAATGACGAAGCTTCTTTGTTGGCATTAACGTCGCGCCGATATCTGGCCTTAAACGTCATTCGGATGCTTGTCCGAATGAGTGATGATCGGAAATATTACGCGTTATTATGACACAATACGTCTTTCCGGAAAAAATAGAAAGTAATTTGGTCTGATATTTTTCTTATCTTTATCATTTATCATTTAATATATCCTACATCTTTATATTTATAATAATGCGTATCTAAATGTGCACAATAAAATTTTATTTGATTTTATATAAAAAGCATACTGGATCTTGCACTTGATTATTTTTACACGCTTCTTTGTCGCACATGAGGTAAAGGAATAATATAATATTTTAATTAATGCTGATAGTAATAAGCGGAGAAGCGTGTTGGTCGTTGACGTGTGTTTAAGAACAGATGGGAACTGTCTTCCGTCTAATCGCTTGCAGAATAAATTAATCATGAAGGATCAGCGGTTGCCAATCTCGGAATTTCTCGGAATTATAGCGAGAATTAATGCTCGACTAATTTAGAGAAATTTTTCATCGGAAATCGTCGATGCATTTATCGCTTTCAGTAATCTGAGTTCTATGAATAGATGAGCGAAAGGACGCGTCGTTCTCAGGAATTTTTAATCGATCCGGTCATCCGGTCGATGCAAAGTCGACCTTTAAGAATCATATTGCACACTCCAGTCGTATCATTACTCCCCATATATTATTTCCGCGAAGATTGATTTTCCAGAGAAAAACAAATCGGGTTACCGCTATCGCAGCAACTGTGCGCGACCTTTGCTATCGCGACAAGGGTTGCTTGTGTATTTAGAATCGTATACAGAGTGCTCCAAACGCAACTGCAAATTCGTTGCTAATTTTTAAAAATATAAACCTTCCAAAAATAAAATTTTCATGGAAGATTATAATATTTGCTGCACAAATAATTTACAAAAAATATCTTGTTCATTACAATTCTTGATATCGAATAGAAAAGTACGATTTCATTATCACAAATTTGCATGCCTAATTCGAGAAGTATTTAATTTCTATATTTTTATTTTCTTAAATTATTAATGCGGTCTCGTTCAAAAGATTCTTATTAAAATTCACTGCGTCAGAGAATTGACAAATAAGGAAAATAGCAATGCTTCTACATCACCCTATACATACTTGTGCGAACGTATAATGAATGTACGAATGCAAATGCCACGTCCGGCCGATATCCGATACCGCCAATGAAACCTCGATTTTATGACCTCGCAAAGTCGATATAGTGCTATTATGTGACGTCTCTTTCTTCTCTCGGAAAACAATAATTCGTGTCCGGTCGACTTGAGATTACGACGATGGTGCGCGTTTATTTCAATAACGATGCGTGATAAACGCTTGCCCCGCGGTCAAACGCCAAGTCAAATTAATCATTGATTGAGAAGCGAGCTATCAAAAATATATTGGTTATCGCAAGGAATAAAAAGCATTTTGACGTCACTAAACATAAGTCGCATTAGAAATGACTGTATTATTAATATTTGATTTTAAAATATAAAACGTCGATTGCAAAAATTTTATCAGACTTTCGAATTTTCTATCATTTGAAGACTGTCATACGTAATGCTGTAATTAATTACGGATTCTTTATACTCTATTTAAGCATCATTAAATAATAAGAAATCTCGTAAATAAGTAAGTTGGATTAATAGTTCCATCAGACAAAGATCATGCTTTTATCAGAATATAAATTAATCTGTTAAAATTAATTATAATTTTGGATATATATATAATTATCATTATCAGTAATTAGAAAACATTATTTAACATATTAATAATCACACATCACGCGTGAGAATCTCGAGCAACTCCGCTTTTATGCGATATTAATTGGCCGCTAATTTTGCAATGAACGTTTATTCGGAGCATTCACGATGCTGCGAACAACGTTATCCCCGCAGCGGCGCTTTTCGACTCGCCGATGTTGCGAGAATCCAATTAGAAGCAAGCATGTAACTTGACCAGTTGATTCAACAACAAACTACGAGCGACTACCATGAGAGAGAGAGACAGAGAGAGATCCTTATCTCTTCGCTCAAGTAAGCAGACTGCGAACGCCTCCGAACAAACCATAAATTCGAACCGCACCCCTTCTGCCAGTTCGTCTCCGTTCTCTTCAGCCTTATTACACGGTGACTCACGTTACGTGGGGGTGGTGCGCCCCAGACTTGGTTGGCGGTGTGCCCGATGCGGTCGTTGTCTTCTTGCAGCCAAGGCAGCTCGAGAGGAATACAAACTTCGTGACGATAATAATTTCGTGAATTGAATCGAAAGAATCTAAGTGTTTCTTCCTTAATGCAAGCTATATTAGATTCATCAATATTTAACTATCTGTTGAATAAAGAAAGACTTCTACTTCTCTAAATGCTTTGAATAGCAGAATAATTTCTACGCGCTTCCAACGTGAAAGAAATAATTACAAATTCAATTTCACTCTAAGGAGAAACGTCAATAAAAAAATAAAAGAGCGTACAAATATCATTAGTAGAAATGATAAAGATATGAAGGCAATTTACATGACCTACAAACAAATGTAAATTGTTTTCGCGGTGGGAACACAGATTTATCTGCAAAATACAAGATGTCGATATGTCACGCTCTACGGCGTCGCGTCGAGGGACATGCGAGGAAAATTGGGGTAAGAAAAACGAATGACGCTTGGGAGGAGGGGGAAGGGGAAATCGTTGTCGCCCGAAGAAAGAGGGGAAGCAACTGACGCAGGGAAATTAAATAATAATAAAGTATATTAAAAATCGTATACATTTTTGCATATACGCGTATGTATATACACGCGGATGTGTGTGTATATAAATACACACATATATATCTATCTATATATTTTTATATTTATACTTTTGCGACCAATCGGAACGGTGGCCGATTACATCTACGGTTACTATGGCAACGTAAAAATTGTACAAAACGGCGGCCGACACCGGCCGCGTGTGAAACTCATCGCGCGGGTCAGAAACGTAAATGCATGAATGCGAAAAAACGCACGGATGTAAAATAATAAAAAAAAAAAAGAAAGAAGGGAGAGACGAAGAGAGGCTCCGATATCGCGCTTCGGTCGAGTTACGTCTCGATCGTGTTTCTCGAAACACACACAGCACTTTGTACACACAGTATTCTCCTCTTTTATTGACAATTAGTGTGACAAAAAGTGGCTTACAAATACTTATAAAGATTCCTTCTCTCTTATCAATTTCTCTACATCGCCCCTCAATAACCACATGATCGCTCACGGATCTCTGCGAGAGAGACCGCACCTTCGATGCTCACACACACCCCGAAATTCGGCATTCCACTATGCCGAATCTTCTCTCTCTCTCGCTTCCTCTCGCCTCCGTGCGACATCGATCACCTTTTCTCTCCTCGGTTATGTCGTTGGCGTGATATGTAACACTAACTGTAAGACGTTTTTTACTCCAGCTACTCTATAACATTACGCGTGTATATTTTGGCAGAGGTTTTCCGTCCAACACAGAGACGGTCGATGCGTTTTTTTTTTTATTTTTTTATTTTTTTTAAGTTGGATGAGGCAGTTTTCGTTTTTCAGTCCTTTCTTTTTGCTTGTGCTCTGCGCTCGCAACATCTCGTAAAAAAGAAATACACTGGGCAGTTAATCAGGATTGTCATGCTATACGCTTTTTCTGTTCCCGTCTTTCGTTGAGAAGTAACTCAAATGTTTGCGTTATTGCACTACGACATTATTACAGGAGTTGAAGAAGAATCCCCAAATACGACACGTATATTATCCAAAATTTGTCCGAATTAAATTTTACCACATTCGGTCGTAGTTGCATTACGAGATGCCGTAAAGTTCTCTCCGAATCTACTTTCGATTTCGCTCCTTTCGACGCTGGGGAAGGTTCGGGATTAATGGTATTGCTAATGTGGCGCGTCGACACGCGTATAATACGTACTTAAACGTCCGTTATGTCTCGCGCGTAATCTCGCTTTTGGGACTACTTCTAGATCATCGGGATTTACATAAGAATTACATACGCGCGCGTGCATAACTTTCCTCTACCCGCTATGCGCGGGGTGCATGTAGATTTTCCTCGCGCCCGGCGAAGGGCGGGCTTACCCTCTTATGTTTTCCGCTATCGCGTCGTCCGCCCCTTCGCGACACGTGCGCCAAGGAGCCGATGGTCACACGAAGTACAGTAAAAATAAAAAGCGCCGCGTCTATCTCTCCGTTATCGTGAACTTTCGACGGCAATCCGGTAATACGCGCGACAAGAGTGCGACACGCTTTTACTTACGGTATAAAAAGATTCGACCTAATACACCGATGTGTTAAATTATATTGTTATCTTCGCGAGACAGATTTATATATATATATATTTATGTATATACTTATATACGTATATTACGCATTTTGTGAACGCAGACAAATCTAATTACGTGACGATCGTTCGCTCGTGGCGGTAATAATGCTCCAACATCCTGTTATTGCAAAAGTAGGTCAAATTGAAAGATCTATTAAAAATGAAAACAGATCTATTAAAAATATCGATTAACTCGGACCATATTATTTAGAATTTACAATCTAGAATTGAAATTTTTTTATCATAAACCCAAAATATATTACTTTACACGGAAAAAAAAGATATTCTTATTTTAAAAATATTTTTATTTTTAACATGAAAATCTTGAAATGATATTATATTGCTTTAACGAAGAAAACTGGCTTGAATGAAGTCATTTTATATAGTTCAATCAAGAAAAAAATATTCTTATTATTTAAGAATAATTTTCTTGAATGGAAAAGAAAAAATGTTGGATAGAAAATAACATATTTTTCAAATAAAAGAGAGAGAAAGATGTTTTATTGTCAAAATAATTATGTATTTTTAAATACTTGCTTGATTGTGAATATGCTTATGTATTGTATAGGGATATGACATTGGTCATATGCCTTTCCTGTCATGTTTATTGAGTCAAACGTATTGCTGAATGTTCTATGGATAGCAACAGTTGCAATAGTATTAGATGTTAAAAAAAAAAATATATATATATATATATATATTGTATTCTTCAAGTAATCATTATAAAATGGAAATATATATATATATATAAGACTATAGTATTGTGAAAATTTAAGATTATTAAATTCTCATCGGAAGATTATAAATTGTTGCGTATACCGGGTGATTCGAAAGGTCAGGTCAACCAACTAGGAGATGAAAGAGGAGTTTGAGTGGAATAAATAATGTAAATAACTTTTTATTTAAGCTTTTTATATAAGCTTTGATTTGACACTACTTTTTTTTCCGTGTATGATCTAAAAACTTATTAATTAAAAATTCAACAAAATAATCTGATTGATAAATGATCTGATTTTATCAATCTTCTTTAAACTTTTGTTAACGAAGATTATAATTGACGATTTATCGATTCTTAACAATCTGATCTGGAATTACGTCAAACTGACGCAATTAACAAATTCTAATTAAATAAAACAAGGAAATATATGTTTAATGTGATTATATAAATATTTTAATAAAGCGTCAAAGCACTGCACGTAATCTATCTCGAAAAAAATTAGTGAAAGCGACGGATTTTAGTTCGATGTTGCATAACGCGACCCAATTAATCCGGATCTTTTCCAGCTATATGCGATAACTTTTGCGATTTAGCTGACGATTGTTTGTGAAAAGACGTAGCGCTCACCACGAACGCGATCGTCTTCGCGTCTCAACATCCTACTTTCTCTGACGACCATTTTATTTACAGTTATCGACTAACATCTAAAAACAATATTTACAGTAGTCCATCCCGCTTGCTTTGTTACTTCAGCGTCCACCCTGTACACTCATTTCTACTTTATACGCGCGTTTCTTGCCAACAGCAGCAGCAGCAGCAGCAGCAGTCTGGTTTCGTCGAAGCTACTTTCAGAATTTCACGATTGCGACGGGTAGCAATAGCGAACGATTAATTCGAGAAGGTCTTGGGAGAGGGACCTCAGCACGTGATATTGCGACGGCGTGATGGTTTTCTTTCTTTTGGGGAGGGAAGGAAGCTGCCGCTTGCAGCGTACGCGCTTTTGCATCCGTATGCGCATTTTTTACGGCTAGATTAGATAAATAGACGAGACGATACACGTTAGACGGACACGGTCTAAAGCCTCATCTACAATCAGTCAGAAGACGGTGTCGTATGTCGTACGCATGCGTATTTAAGTGTCGGTTGCCGTAAAGTTCTTGTCGAAAGCCGGACGTCGTTGTCGCTCGGAAGATGGTCAAGTCTCATCTTTTACGAAAACGACACGACAATAACAGCAACAATGGCGGAAGAAATAACGGTGGATGAAATTATTATAAATATCGTTCAGGACAATAAGTGCATTTATTTACCCACCATCTTCGAGAGATTTTACGTTTCTCCTTTAAAATTCTTCGTATTTTTTGAATTTGTGTGTAACTGATAAACAAATTATGATAAATTGCGACCAATTCTGTAATATCCATTTTATCCACAACTTATATTTACAACTTTAACCTCTAAGATCTTCTAAGATTGATTTATCACCGTAACGACACACAATTTGATTGTAGATTAGTATGTTGAGTAAACAGCTGCGACATACGACTAGCGACATCCGACAAGCATCTTCCGACTTGATTGTAGACGAGGCCTAAAAGCGGGCCTTACGAGCGCCGCTTTTACGAAAGAATGTAAGAAAGATTAGAGAAAGAGATAGATAGATATGGATAGACGAAGAAACCTATCGACACCGCACGTTCTCGCGTGCGCGCACGCTCGCGAAGTCTTTCTTTTAAATCACAATCTCACTACACCGCGGCACTCGAGCGATCCTCCCTGCCGATGATCACCGATCACCGTACACCAAGGAATCGTCTTTTTGCAACGTACCTTTTCACAAGAATCCACCAACGTTTGTCATCGACAATACACCAACAAGACACTCGGAAAACTGTCAATGATCCAAGTGGCAGAGAAGACACCTCGAGATTGCCGCGGCAGAAGACACGTACAGGCTAATACGTATATTGGGTAATCGTGAAGCACCGCGGCCACTCGTCGTCCATCCGTGAGCCGCCGTGGGTCGTCCAATCTCCAACCGTGCTGTCTTTCACACCTCGGTGGCCTGCGTGTAGGACGGCGCGATTCCGTGCGCCGGCGTCAGCGGCCCCGTCGTGGACGCGAGCGATCTCCTGGAGTAGATGGTCGCCGCCGAATGAGGCGTGTGCGGCGCCGTGTGTGGCGCCGTGTGCGGCGTCGCGTTGTGCCTGCGCGAGGCCGAGGCGAAGGGCTAGATGGGCCCGTAATTGCTGAGGGCGGAAGGCCGCTCCTGTTGCTGCTCGCCGCAACCAGCGGTATTCATGTCGCCCCCGCCGACTGGTGACGTCATACGTGCGAAAGTGGCGGTTGCTTGAGTACATGATGATGCAGGTGGTGCTGAGACGCGCTCGCGACACTTCCGGGTGGTAGAAGAGCGCTGCCGGGGCCCGGAGCCGGTGGATACGGCATCCCGACGCCACGGCCTACGACGCCCTTGATGCCGACGCTGCCTATTCCGCCGCTGACACCCGTCACGCCGGCCACCATGCCGGCGCCGCTCATGTGACCGCCTGGACTGCGATCACCGCCGAACAAACGCCTCCACAATCGTCTCCAGGAGTCTACCGTCTTGCTGCTCCAGATCCAGACGCCCGAGGTGATGCCGACCGCGAGAGCCATAAAGTACTTGAGCATCAAGACGAAGTAGAGAGGTCTTGCGCGCGGCCGGCAGGGACACGCCAGCGAACTGAGCCATTCGTCTCGCAAGGACGATTCGTAGATGTGACAGGCCAGCACCACGCCGGCCGGCAGTGTGTAAAGAACGCTGAACACGCCGATCCGTATCATTAGTTTCTCCAGTTTGTCCGCCTTGGCGCCGGGCTGGCGCTTGATGACCGATCGAATTCGGAAAAGACTGACGAAACCGGCCAGCAGGAAACTCGTGCCGAGCAGAAGATAGACGAACAGAGGCGCCAGGATGAAGTTGCGCACACCTTCGGGCGCGACCGTGCACACTCCGGCCACCGGGTCACCGGCGACGCCGCCCGAAATATACGCCCAAACTGTTTGCACGGTCGGTGCTACCCAAGCTACCAGATGAAAGTACTGCGAGTACGATGCTATGGCCTCGTTGCCCCATTTCAAGCCGGCGGCGAGGAACCAGGTGAATGCGAGAATCACCCACCACACGGACGACGCCATGCCGAAGAAGTAGATCATGAGGAAAACGGTGACGCACGCGCCTGGGCCTTGAGCGCCGGACTTGAGAGCTGGACCGTCGCAGGCGATCTCCTCGTGGCCGATCATGCTACGCGACAGGTAGCCCACCGCCACGACGAAGTAGCAGACCGAGAGGAAGACGATCGGACGCTCAGGATACTTGAAACGTTGGGTGTCGATCAGGAACGTGGTGATGGTTACGAGTGTGCTGGCGGCGCACAGGCCGCTCCACAGTGCCAGCCATATGGCCGCGAAGTCGCGTTCGTCGTTGGTGAGAAACGCGCCGCGGCACGGCAGGGCACAGTCCGGCACCCCCGCGATCTCCTGGATGATGCTTCGACCGAGGCTTCCCATCGGCGGCGCCGGCGCCGGTATTACTCCACTTACGGCCATGCTGGCCAGACCACTGTTGACCCCGGTGCTGCTGCTGCTGCCGGTCCCGATGATGCTGCCGCTGACGCCGGTTATCGGCGCGCCACCTGCCCCCAGAGGCACGAGGGGCGCTCTGCATCTGCACGCGCAGTCCCTTGTCCTCTCCCCCGGGGGGTGCTGGCAGTTTTTTTGGTTCTTGCCCGGCTTGCAGCGAGGCGTCAGTGTGGGCTTGCTGGGCCGCGTCGGCCGCGCCGGCAGTCCCGGCGGCGGATTGCTGCTCACCGTGCCACCGCTGGCACCGGCTCCCGGATGAGTGCTGCTGGTGCGGTTGTCCTGCTCCATGCACAGATTCTCCGGATCTTCGTTGTGATTCGGCAGACGCTCGCACGCCATTCGTTCCGGCCACGAGAAGCCGTACTGCTGCATCAGAGGCGAGCAGCCCGCGCGCGCTCGCTCGCACACGCTGCGACAGGCCGGCAGCGGTTTCGTGTACTCCGGGATGCAGATCGGCGTGTACATCGAGCAGAGGAAGAACTTGAGATCCGGCGAACACTTGATCTCCACCAGCGGCCAGAATTGGTGCACTTCCAGGCCGGCCTCCTCCTGCGTGTCGTGATTCAACTCGTTCGGCATCGCGGTGAGATTGTAGCCGATACCGCGGCACATTGGGATCGTGATCTCCTCGCATCGTCCGTTTCCCTTGGGCTTGTCGATGCCGGAATGCGTGCCGTCACCGATGCCACCGCCGATGCCACCGAGCACGCCGTTGCCGCCGCCGCCGCCGCCGCCGCCGCCCACCCCGTTGCCATCGGGATTCGAGCTGCTGTCCGACACCACGCCGCTCACCGACGACGATGAGGACGCGGAACCGCCGGACGAAGATGAGGATGACGAAATGCCCGACCCCGATCCGACGACGCTACCTACCGGACTTATCGCCGATTGTACATGCAATTCCGAATGTACATGCGACAGCATCGTCACGGACACCAACAACATCAACAGACTCGTCATCGTTCGTGCTGGGAACAGCTTCGTCCGTCGCACCGATCTCATGTTCAAGGACGTTCGACTCATAGTTGCGTAGCTCGCATAACTGCCGCCTGCAACAGAAAGCGAAGGATACTTTTATCGTCGACATTTCTATTATATGTACAATGGAATTGCTTATATTGTGGGAAGTATAAGAGTGTGGCGCAAATATATTAACAATGATTGTGAGAGCTTCAGTTTCCCACAATTATGACAATAATCAAAATATGACAAAAGTAAAATGTTTTTTATTTTTTTGTTAAATCTGCAAAAAATAAATATAAAAATTTCAAGAATCAATATACATATATTATGATATTAATAACATATGGTTTTTACATGTGCCATATTTAATAATAATTTTCTAACATCAAAAAAAGCAATATCATTGCTCTTTAACGATTTGTTTTTACGTGCGTATTTTTCATTCGTGTAAAAAATATTTATCAAAGATAGAGTATTCATCGCATTACAGAGAGACTATCGGAATGATACTGAAAATACTGAATAGATTTGAGTTTAATCCAGCAAGAGGAGTGCACGTGGCCGGTCGAATGCGCGAGCGAGTCTCGCTTCGTTTGCAATTCGAACTATCAAAGCACGACGGAGCCGTTTCGGTAACCCGGTCGGGTTCAGTAACTCCGGGGCGAGTCGCGTCGCGTGTATCCGCTCTTTCGTAAAAGTCCGAGCCGACGATCGATGCCTAAATAGCCGGCTGGCGCGGGATGCGTTCGACCGCTCGCTTTGCTCGTTCGTTCGCTCGACCTTAACGAGCAAGGGCGTAGCTTTCGAATGTCTCGTACATAAATCAATGTCGGTGGTTCGATCGCTTGCTAGATACTCCGGGTCAAAACCGGTACGTCTCTCGCGCAAAGCCGGGCCGATGCGATCGCAGAACCGTGGGATGCCGGCTCGAGAGCATAAATTTACGAATAACAAATAACGGGTGAGGATTAAAGTATTATTCGCGGATAAAGGACAACTCTATTTAAATAAAATGTCTTGTTTGTGTATCACAAATGAATATTATATTCGAAATCAAATTTTGCTCAAAAGAGATAACTAGAATTCCTGAATTTCCTCAAACCACAAATGAATTTTTATTCAAACACAAATTTCATTAAATTTTAATTGAATTCTGTAATATAAATAATTCCAACAAATGCAAATATTTAATACGCATTGTTTTATGTTAAAAATAATGAATAAAATATTTCACTTAAATAAGGGGTTAAATAAAAAATTATTTGAAGAATGCAGTTCTGCTGGAACGCACGCTGAAGATTATCGAAGGAAAGGATACGGTGGGAGCGCGAAAGGGTACAGCGAGGAAGAATGGAGAAACCGGCGAAAACGATGACGAGGGGGAGAGAGAGAAAGAGAGAAAGAAGAGAAGAAAAAGACAGAAAAAGGGATCGAAGCAGTCATGGATCTTATAATAGTCGAGCCGCGGAAAACACGTGACCGGAGCGAAATGTTATTATAGGAGGTGGTGTTAGTTTTACCGTTTGTTAACTGCTAGCGCCCTGAGACGTTGCTATTTATAAGACGCCGTGCCGGCCCGACGTGCATATACTCCGGCGTCGGAATGGGGGAGGAGAAACCGCTACGTGTGTGGCTTGGATCGGCCGATCGCGGCCGTGCGCGCGTACGAAATGCATCGGCGAGATGCATCCGCCGCCGCAGCTGCGCGGAAACGATGCCTCTCAATAGAGACGTATGCGCTTTTGATTTTCGCTTCGTTACGGAGTCCGCTTCGCAATATCGTTAGCCCGTCAACGAGTATACCGCGACGGGCCGCGGCTCGCTATAACGCCGCTCTGTTCGATAATGTTACAGAGAGCGCGTTATTATGCACCACGCCGCAGCGATTGCACGGTAATAAATACGCGCGTCGATCGCGCGATCGTTAGCGAACGTCTTTCCCTCTCATCTTCTACTATTCGCAGATTTCAAGTGAATCTAATCTAATCGTATCTGATTACTCAATCGTGCGAAAGGTTACCAGCTCGTTTTAGCGTATGAAAATTTCGTCCTTCCTCCATTTCATCCCATCCATTTATTATCCATCCGTTTTTCGTAGAATATTACGTGATAGATGCCGCAAAGACCGCGCGCGCGTGCGCGCGTATGTGTGTGCTGTCGATATGATATATCGAATTTGATCCTGCGGGTTGCTGGTATATCCGCGAGCGATTCGAAGAACTATTATACTATAAAACTTATTCGACGAAACGAATATCCATTAATATGTTGCATAAAGTAAAGGTAATACGAGGGAGGCGGGCGGGACGCCGGCAATGAATCACTTTTAAAGCCGCGCTCCCGCTGCCCGGTGTATGCGGGCCGCGCTGGTCGATGTTGTTTGGGTTACGATACGCTTCTCTTTTATGGAAATTTCGTGCTCTTTTTGCTCTCACCCACGTCTATCCTCGTTCATAACTAGTTTCTGCGAATAGCACGCGCGCGCCGCGATCCGTTCGCCGTCGACGCGACAGCTAATTAAAAGTTTATACATATTAATATCCCGCAAGTCCTTTTTACGTGCCGTTTATTTGCATTCGCGTTCGCACGATTGATCGCGCACGAACGAGGACTAGGTCGAATCGTTCGTTTCGCCTCGGCGAGCCAGTCGAGAGAGAAAAAAGGCGTCGATATGCGCCGAGAGGCGCGCTCCTCGCGCTGAAACGTGATGCGTTTATAGCGCACCGCGACGAACGATTTGTCCGCTGTCAATCCGTCTCTCTTTTTCGAGAGAGTTTCAATTTACGCCGCAGCGAGGAAGGGCCGTGATATCCGATCATAAAAGGGACAGGCACCGAGGCGTAAGAACGAAAAGCAGCAGCAGAGCGGCAGCTCGGCGAGATATCGCACGTTTCTTTGCGAACACGCTGCTGCTAAAGGTACGTAAATCAAAACGCGCGGCGAGATTTATGGCGAGGTATGGATGAGGTATGCGTTATACTCCCTCGTTAGTTGGTAAAACTGATGGCGGCCCGGTGGTGTCGGGTTTTATATCAAATCGCGCGTCACGAGCATTAATCATGAATTCACCGCGCTCACCCCACCCGCCTCCGCAAATTCGCTCGCGGAGCTAAGAAAAACAAGGTAACGAAATACAGTCCGCCGGGATTCGCCCGCTTTCTCTCCGTGATTTTACATCATCGGCCAAAAGAGTTTTCGCCGTTCGTCGAAATAACTCGGCGGAATGTTTAGCTGCATGCTAACTTCGCGATAAATGTTGGCGCAATTAACATAAATTGCGCGCGTCGCCGCCGGAATCTTCCCAATTATGCTAATTTTCTGATTTAAGGAGCTATTAAACATTTTGCCGGTGACGGCTATAAAGTTTCGGCTTGTGGAAGAAGAACATCAGAAACTTTGTAATAATAAAAAAAGTAGTAGTAATTTCATTTCGTTTCCAAATGTAAAATAAGGAGAAAAAATAAATAAGTTTGATAAGAAAATAATGCACTCGAGCTTACTTGAATTCTTCGAGTGAATTATTTCTTGCAAAATATTTATTCTAATAACAATTAAGCCAGAACGCGTCAGAGATTGAAACGTCTTCTTCCGTCGAAAATAGCGATGCAGCAGCACAATTCCGATATGAACTCAGCGTTTGACGCACAGAGCGTATACATATACGTTCGGAAGTTAACTTGGCATAGTTTACGCGCGCAGCAAGCTCCTTCTGGTATCTATCTTCCCCGACCAATCTGGACATCTAAACTTGGCCTTCGAGCGCACTCTCTCCTCTTCGACGAGTTTATTAACGATGCAACGCGCGGGGCGTGCGAGAGATAGAAAGAGAGAGCCTAAGTCGCGCGAAAGCGCGGATAACCGGAACTATTTGTTAGAGCCCCCGGGTGTGATACGTACATTCACGCCCGACAATATGCACTTCGGCCTTTATGCGAGTATAAAGTATGTTCTCACGCCTTTCGGACGCCACATTCTACCGCAATATACAAAGTGTATCAATTTTATATCAATTTCGTTTTTATATCGCACGCTAAATTAATAAAGACAACGATAACTTTGATTCAGAGCAGATATAATTTTTGAGTGAATAAAAAAGTTATGAGAATTCGATTAATTAAGATTTAGTAGTTTTCATCGAATGAATCGCAAAATATTATTGCACAAATATTTCAAATTATTTACATTTTGTTATGATAATCTAATTAAAAATTTTAAACTCTTGCGTAAATAAACTTTCTTGGAAAAATAAACTGGAGGCAATAAAGCTGTCAAGGCATCCTGTATATTTAACGTTGAATATAATGCGAAAGTTACGCGTGACGCGCGGTTGTGTACCTTTTTTTCACGCGGTGCGATTACGAGACATTCAACGCAGTCACTTAGGTAAAAAGCGCGGAAGATATTCTCAATATCGCGTGCCTCTGCGGCTGACATACGGTCTCTTTTTCCCTTCCTTTTTCGCATACATGCCACAGCTATGCGAAACCGTGCTGTTACTCGAATCGCGCGATTCCCAGAATACACGCGTAAGATCGGATTTACCAAAGCCTGCGTGCAAAGGCGGCACGTTTGCTACCGTATACTAGACGCTGTATCAAATTTTCGTCAAACCTCAAGCGTATTCTTTGATCAATCCGACGTTAACTTTTCCTCTCTGACAGATTTAGACGAAAACGTAACTATTGAGTTGAACAAAAACGCGTGATTAATTTTAAAAATTGAGGAATTTTTATGAATTAAGCTCGGCGACTGCAAAATAAATAATGACATGTCATTTCTCAATTAACTCTAAACGAGCTCTATATCAGCAGAGAATCTTAATTTAAATTTCAGATATTCCGCGATCGAATATCATTAAAATATTAATTCGTCCGCGGTTAGCTATTTGTATTTCGTAATTGCGCGGACGCGAGCAGCAAATGCGTTCGCGATCTATCAACTTTCATTTCCTTTATTTTTATCTCAGCGCCAATCGAGCGCAATAAAGGACTGGTAACAACCGATGATGCATCGCTCGTTCAATCAGGATACGAACGCTCGATAATCGCCACCATCGAGTTACCACCATCATGCCGCGTAGCGATAT